GTGTCCAGTGGTGACTAAGACTACTTTAGGGGTTTCAAAGACCATGAACACAAAATTATACTGAATTATCCAAAAATAGCCGACAGTTAAAGAACCTTTATAGATAATGTTACTGTAGGAGCTACATTGATGTTTGGGTTACTCTTGAAAACATGATGCAGTGATTTAGTTCTGACACTGGGTGGCGAGGGTGAGCACAGGTGCATATATGGTGGTACCACATAAGCACAGTACAACACCAGGGGTACCACACAGGTTTTTACCAGCAGTAAGGAAGAAAGGCAATGAAAACTTGTTACTTGCTTGAACTGTGGAATAAACCTTGTAAATGACAATAAAGCTCTGGACATTGTTTCAGTTGCTGCGTAAACCTATGACCTATGGTGCTCCAGGTGGTCTTTGCATGTTAGTTTGCCCAGAATTAATGCCACTACAGTTACATTTTTAAGTTGATTTGCTTTTTTAAATTATATGAGCTTTTGGAAGTTTATATATTGAGTGACAGTTTCTGATTGAAGGATGAAAACTGATCATTGATGATTTTTCTATAATTTATTGAACACTGAGAGCTGCTAGTTAGCTCTGATCTCTTTAACTCGCTGGAAATGTTTCACCAAAACAAGACGATGCAAAAATGCGTCACACCATTAACTGATTTGTTATTATTTGTGCACAAGATATCCAGAAAGTTCATAGAGAAAAGAAAATGAGCTTGGCGGGTGCTCCCAGACAGGTGAGTAGAACTATGCCATTCAGGAAATTTGGGAAAATGCAGTCAAATTTGGGTTGGCAGCTGTGGTGACCAGTTATACAGGGAGATTCGCTTGAAAGAGGCCCTGAATATTCTGTGATAACTCTCGCTAGGACGAAACAATCTGAACGAAACAGCGTGCAATGTGCTGCTCAGAATATGGAGCTTCGAACAAGCTGGGATGCCCCTGCATTGGAGCAACGAGGTAGGCACCGGGCAGCCATTGCTACGTTTAACCTCTGTTTGCAACTTCCAGGTGCAGACGCCCGTACCCCTTCACTCAGTCACTCGACTTTTCATCAGGATGGTGGTGTACAGTATACAGTAAGGAGCATGGCAGAAAGTCTTTCTTCAGCAACAGGGTCATTTCAAAGGGGCTTTGGTCACCACGGTCACCAGATCTGACACCACCAGACTTCTTCCTTTGGGTTATGCTCAAAGGAAAAGTCTATCGGAACAAACCTCGCACTGCGGAAGATTTGAAGGAAAACATCCAACATGAAATTGCTGCTGTTTCCCCCAATATGCTTGCCGATACGTTCAGGAACATGGAGCCACATCTAAATGTGTGTGGCAGAAAATGGAAATCACTTCCAGCATCGCATGTAATGCAATCAATTACACAAACATCAAGGTATGTTGTGTATTTTTTTGGTTCAGATTGCTTCATCCTAACGGGAGTTACAGCAGAATATTTGGGGCCTTTTTCGAGTGAATCTCCCTGTATATCACGTGTGGTCAGAGCCACTCTGTCCACTCCTCTAACTCCCTTAACTATCTGTCTGTTATCCTTATATTCATTAAAATCCTTCCTTCATTACAGTATGTTTTGCTACTTTGGCATGACACTATCTATCTATCTATCTATCTATCTATCTATCTAAATAGTTCTTCAGACTGATGGAGAATGTGCTGTATATGGTTCTATATTGAACCTTTTTGAAAATGGTTCCATATAGCACCAAAAAGGGTTCTTCTATTGCTGACATCATAGCAATAGCAGAACCTGATTGAGTTATGGGGATTGGCTGAGGGACAGATGTGAAAACAACAACAACATGGATGGACATGCTGCTAACAAACGGGCAAAGGAGACTAACAGGAAAGAGGTGAAGGGGAAAACTTCCTTCCAGTCCTTGTTGATAAGGGCCTGTCATCAACATTAAGCAGTAAAACTGCTGCGTAGGTGAACCTCAACATGTTGATGTTGCCAGACAGTTTACAGTGCTGTTAAAAAGTATTTTTGCAAATTTTTCACATTTAAATGTTTCAGATCTGCTAATTTTAGTGCAAACAAGCCAAATTTGTCTCAATTAAGAATGCATATTAGTGATCATAACTATTAGAATATCTAAACCTTTCACATTTCTTGTTTGTTTTAGGGTATTGTTATTGTTTCTTATAAGTACACTCGGCTCATAAGTTGTTGACTTATCAGCTTTTTTTTAACTAAATACATAATACTGTTTATATTTTCATACTTTTTCTGCATTCAGAAATACAATCCCATTTTCAAAAGAATTGGGACGCTGTGCAAAATGGAAATAAAAACAAAATTCAATGATGTGCAAATTATTTAAATCCTATATTTCATTAAAAATAGTACAAAGGTAACAAATCAAATGTTAAAAACTGAAAAATTGTATTGTTTTTTGAAAAATACACCGATCTGGCATATCATTATGACCACCTCCTTGTTTCTACGCTCATTGTCCATTTTATCAGCTCCACTTTGTAGCTCTACAGTTACAGACTGTAGTCCATCTGTTTCTCTGCATACTTTGTTAGCCCCCTTTTACCCTGTTCTTCAGTGGTCAGGACCCCCATGGACCCTCACAGAGCAGGTACTATGTGGGTGGTGGATCATTCTCAGCACTGCAGTAACACTGATGTGGTGGTGGCGTGTTAGTGTGTGTTGTGCTGGTATGAGTGGATCAGACACAGCAGTGCCCATTTTGAATTTGATGCCAACAACATGTTCCAAAAAAGTTGGGACGGGGGCCTGTTTACCACTGTGTTTCATCACCTCTTCTTTTAACAACACTCTGTAAGCGTTTGGGAACTGAGGAGACACTGCTGTAGATCTGAACGTGAAATGTTTTTCACTCTTGTTTGATACAGGATTTTTCATTTCATAATGTGCCAAATGTTATCAGTGGTGACCAGTCTGGACTGCAGGCAGGTCAGTTTAGCACCCAGACTCTTTTAATACACAGCACTGCTGCTTTAATACATGCAGAATGTGGTTTGACATTGTCTTGCTAAAATAATCAAGGCCTTCCCTGAAAAAGACGTTGTCTGGATGGCAGCATATGTTGCCACAACATGTATATATCGTTCAGCATTAATGGTGTCTTCACAGATGTGCACGTCACCCATGCCATGTGCACTAATGCCCCCCTAGACCATCATGAATACTGGCTTTTGAACTGTGCACTGATAACAAGCTGAGTGGTCATTAGCCTGGAGGACACAGCGTCCATGATTTCCAAAACGAATTTCAAATGTTGATTCATTGGACCACAGGACACTTTTCCACTTCCCCAGTCCATTTTAAATGAGCTCAGGCCCAGAGAAGGTGGCAGCATTTCTGGATCCTGTTTATATATGGTTTCTTCTTTGTGTTTTAGAGTTTTAATTATCTTTTTGTGGATGCAGTGACTAACTGTGTTCACAGACGAAGGTTTTCAGAAGTGTTTCCGAGCCCATGCAGTGATTTCCACTACAGAATCATGTCCGTTTTTAATGTAGTGCTGCCTGAGGGCCCAAAGATCACGGCCAGCAAATACAGAGATTTCTCCAGATTCTCTGAATCTTTTAATGATATTATGTACCGTAAATGATGAAAAACAAAAGCTCTTTGCTGTTTTATGTTGAGAAACGTTATTCTTGAACAGTTGCACTATTTGATCGCGCAGTCTTTCACAGAGTGGTCAACCCCTCCTCATCTTTGATGCTGGCATCAAATTCAAAATGGGCAAATATTTGTACAATTTTCAATGAAATACAGGGTTTAAATAATTTGCACATCATTCCTTTTTGTTTTTATTTACATTTTGCACAGCGTCCCAACTTCTTTGGAAATGAGGTTGTAATTTCTTTGCTAACGAATTACTATGAGTGTCATTTATAATTTAACACTTGAATATGTGATAATGTGTGTTTTTATGCATTTGTATATTAGGCTGGACTTGCATCTTTCTTAGTTCTATTTGTCATTTGGCTGATTTATGGCACTGTTGGCTGTTTTCTGGGAAAGAAGCAAGGAAATGATAGTGCCTCAGGTTTGGCCTACAGCCTCCCGGCTCACGTTTGGCTGCATGTGTGCAAGCAGTCTGATTCTGAACCTGATCCTGCAGCCAGATCTGGGCCAGAAAAACTGCTGGAATCATGCTGGATCTGGGCCAGAACGTATTTGCTACGTGCAAAAGCATCAACTTCGTATTATGAAAACTGATACAGGCCTGGGGGGGCGGCACAGTGGCACAGTGGGTAGCGCTGTCGCCTCACAGCAAGAAGGGCCTGGGTTCGATTCCCGGCCAGGCGACCAGGGTCATTTCTGTGTGGAGTTTGCATGTTCTCCCCGTGTCTGCGTGGGTTTCCTCCGGGTACTCCGGTTTCCTCCCACAATCCAAAAACATGCAGTCAGGCCAATTGGACGTGCTAAATTGCCCCTAGGTGTGAATGTGTATGTCTGTCTGTCTGCCCTGCGATGGACTGGCAACCTGTCCAGGGTGTATCCTGCCTTCCGCCCAATGACAGCTGGGATAGGCTCCAGCACCCCACCGCGACCCAGAAGGATAAGCGGTTTAGATGATGGATGGATGGATGGATACAGGCCTGACGCAAAGCAACAACACACAAAATAGCAACAAGTTCAAAACAAGTTTCTCTTGTGTTGTAATAAAGTGTGTGTATTGATGTGATTTCAGAATCTTGTGGAAAGTGCAAGAAAAGGAGCAGAGACTTCCTCTCTTGTCAGCTGATCATCGCTGCCTTTGCTTCACAGCCACACATACACGTGCAGTTTGTGACCAAGAACAGTTTGAGATCTTTTTATCTCTAAATGCTTATCAGAAGTGCTGTGATTTTCAAACTATAAATTAAATAAGAGCCATATATTCTGCGCAATTTGTCCAATGAGGCCAGACAAGGAAGCAGTTGACTATAATAAAATACAACAATCCAACCAGGAATTCACTTTAAGGAAGTTCCAGAAAGAATTCCGATAAGTTGCTCAAAGGGTGTATATAAATATGTATATCACTGAGAGCTGCAAGACAGAACACACACAACGCTCAGTGACACTTCCAGACATTCATCCTCTTCCTGCAGCACAATGAAGATTTGGGTGCTCCTTGTTCTGCTGGCGGCGGCGGCCAGTGCCAAGCGGTTTAACCGATGCGAGCTCGCGAGAACGCTGAAAGCGGCAGGAATGTCCGGCTTCAGAGGCGTCAGTCTGGCTAACTGTGAGTGCTCCAAGAGTCTTTTCAATTACACTCCAAATCCAAACGCTTAGCAGTTCATTTGAGCTTTCTCCATTTTGTTCTCCTTTAGAGGAACAGACCTAAAACCTAAACATTTGGATTTGTTTATTGTGTTTATTGTGTATTGTGTTTCCATTGTACGGGAAAACCTACACCATGACGCACTGTGTACGCATCTGACTCTAGTACATTAACAGTACAACATCTATTATTTCAGTGGAGCAGATAATAATCGCTGTTGTCGGAGTAAAACCTCGTATCTCCAAAATGGTAACTTTACAGGAGAAGGAAAAAACCTGCTTTACTTTTAATGTAAGTCAATGGAACCAGACTTTTTTCGAAGTCATTTTGGGTCGTTTCTTTTGGTCCATTCATCATGAAATTTACACACAATGTGAGAGGACTACAGGCATTTTCAAATTATGTCAAAAACTGAAAAACGACTAAAATGGAGATACCAGGTTTTCTTCCGACAGCAGGGATATATACATATATGAATGAACAGTTGGTGCAGTAAAGTGCAGTAAGGTTCATGAACCATGTTAAGAAAACCACAGCTCTGCTATGGAACAGCACTGTAAACAAATATAGTGTTAAGTAAGTAAATCAGGAGGGTATGTACATTTTATATTCAGCTATATTTTGTTACTAAAATAATTCAGAAAAATACACGTTTTAAAAGGGCAATAAGAAAGGAATAATGTATATACAGTTTAAAAGAATTAGCTAGGGATGTATTTTCTGAGTGGACAACAAAGTGCAAAGGATATTAGCTCCTGCTAAATGCCATGAATGTAACTGCAATGAAAGCTAAATGTTTCACTCATACAGCATAACAGCAGCGTACAAAACACTAAATTTCTTCTGAAAGATCTACTAAGATGTTGAAATGCAAAAACGGCCTCAGCTGGAGCGAGTTCCTCTTAAAAGAAGGTGGAGTTTAAACTGTCGTGCAGCAATAATCAACTGCGCTGCATGTAGATTAGATTATGAAACACCTCAAATCACAAGATTTGTAAGTTGCTTCATTGCACAGCTAAACTTGCCTTACTTTTATTATTTTCATTAAAAAACTCATGAATTCATATTAAGTCAACTGTTCATGATCATTTAAACAGTGTACATTTTACTCCTTCATCTGTAGGGGTTTGTTTAGTCAACGCAGAGTCCAGCTACAACACTCAGACCATCAACAGAAACTCTGACGGCTCGAGGGACTACGGCATTTTTCAGATCAACAATCGCTGGTGGTGTTCTAATGGCCAGTTCCCCAGCAAAAACAACTGTCGAATCTCCTGCAGCCGTAAGAACATTTCTTAAAACACTGGGCCTCATTCTCTAATATGTTCCTAAGTTTGTTCTTAAGTGTGTTCTTGAGAAAAGTCCTAAGAAAAAGTCTCCGTCAGATTCATGACGTGTTCTTAAAGCGCAGAACTGTTCTCGCCTTTGTGCTCTTGAGTGTGTGTAGATTCTGTTCTTACCTAAGAACAAATCCCAGATAAGACAACATGGTGAATCTCAGAATCTCCGTCAAAACTGCGTTAGTGGGTTTTAAGAAGAAAATTTCTTAAGAACGGTAGGTGAACGAGGCCCAGTGTGAACAGTTAAGCATTATGTAATAATACATGTGTAATGACATGCAGTGGACAATGACACATTAACATAAACCACCATGCAGTTCTTGCTCAAATTCCACTCCATATTTTGTGTAACATGGATGAGACTCACGTAACCTAATCTTCATCCTTGTGTCCTCCGACAGAGCTACTGACTGATGACATCTCCGCTGACATACGCTGTGCCAAGACCATAGTGACTCGGCAGGGCATCTCAGCGTGGTAAGACCAAATAATCAGGTTTAAAGGGCCCGTATCGTGAAAAAAAACGCTTTTGTCTTTAAATAGAAGAGTTTGATGTTGCTAGGCAACCACTGTTAAAGTTTCAAAACATACCATCCACTCTCCAGTCCCTGCAGTCCATATATGGGAACTAAACTGAAAAAAGGCCTGCTTTGAATTAATTTTTTGTTATGTCACAAAACCAGAACAGGCTATTTATCATCATCACCATCATCATCTTAAACCACTTAATCCAGAGGGAGTCGCGGTAGCAGTAGGGAGAACAGAGAATTACAGACGACCCTGTCCCCTGCAACTTCCTTCAGCTCATTCCGGGAGACCCCGAGCCGATCCCAGGCCGACTTGGAGATATAATCCCTCCAGCAGGTCCTAGGGCAACCCAAAGGGTCTTGTCCTAGTAGGCTGTGCCTGGTAAACCCCCGCTGGGAGGTGTCCAGGGGCGCATCCGGATCAGATGCCCGAAACACCTCAACTGGCTCCTCTCAATGCGGAGGAGTAGCGGCTCTACTCCGAGCTCCTCCTGGATGACTGAGCTCCTCACCCTATCAAGTGTAGCCCACCACCCTACAAAGAAAGCTCATTTCCGCCACTCGTATTCATGATCTCATTCTTCCGGTCATTACCCAAAGCTCATGACCACAGGTGAGGGTCAGGATGTAGACTGACCGGTAAACAGAGAACTCTGCCATATGGCTGAGCTCCCTCTTCACCACTACAGTCCGGTACAGTGACCGCATTACTGCTGCCACCTGACCCAGCCTGCGGCCGATCTCACCATCCCTCTTCCCATCACAACATCAACAAGATCCCGAGATACTTAAACTCCTCCACCTGGGGCAGCTCCTCTCTCCTCACCTGGAGTGGTCATGCCATCCTTTTCCAGGGTGATTTATCAATCTTAAAAACATGGTATCAAAAAAGCCTATTTTTATTCAAATCCAGTCCTGGGCTGGTGTCCAGCACAGACTGGTCATTGACCAACTCAAAATACATGCAACAAACCTGCCAATTAACAAATGAGTTAAATCAGGTGAGTTAGAGCAATTAAAAAAACTACACTGTGCTGGACACTGGGTCTCCAGAACCAGAGCTGAAGACCCCAGTTCTAAAGGGATAAAGAGAAGCTGGAAAATGTAAAAATGAATTTAGACTGATTTCGGCACATAAAACCACATAAACATCACAAATGGAAAATAGGGGGGAAAATAAAATACATGAGAAATATAGGATACGGGCCCTTTAATAAACTCACAGAAAGAACCTGGCCAAATAAATGACTGAAATGTTTTTAATCTCTTTCTTAGGGTGGGCTGGCGTAGACGTTGTAAGAACCAAGATCTGAGACGGTACATCGCAGGTTGTGGAGTTTAAATGAAGATCGCTGAATGACGGACCGCAAGCTGAAATCAGGGCTTGAAGGAAAATTTCTGACTGACATGTGTTTGGGGGTTTGGACAAAGACTGAAGGGAAGGTGGGATTCACGAAATGATGAAATTAATGAACTGAATATAAATACATTTATTTAAAACCTGAAACAAATCAACAATAACAACTAGTGCAATAAAAAAACAAGCAAATAATGTATGGTAATTGTATCCAAGCGTATCCAATATGCCTGTCCTTCAGACTCGTCATCGCTGGTCCCTCCGTTGGTCTCTAAACAGTGTACGACATACTGTTGTCACATTAGTCCAAAAGATCACAACAATAATACGAAAACAAAACGAATAGCCTTTTAATTGCTGTGCTTTCTCAAAGCCACATACATTACTGAGCTGACACTTGACTGAGCCACAATGGTTTTTTTTTATAATCTCATACTTTGTATTAAAAAGTATTTTATTAATACAAAATAAAGACTTCCTTCAGACTGTATATATACATTCATTCATATACAACCATGTTATTGTTACCCGACAGTTAAAAAGTATGAAAGAATATTTTCCATGAACATATAACTGTATACTAAGCCACAAGAGGCCGTGCGTTACAGCAGTTTTACGCTTTACAGTCATTCCATTAACCTTTTGTCATAAAATAATGAACATATGATATCACAGCCACTGCTTAATGCAGAAACTTTCACTTCATAAGTACTTTTTGGTCCAAATCACCACCGCGAGTCTTATTTAGCACCAATCCAGCGGCGCCCTCTTCTCACGCTGGGGCTGAATCTCAAACGGCTCCCTGCTCCCTACATAGTGCACTACGTAGGAGCTTAAATACTGGATCCTGCAGCCCAACAGAGCAAAATACAGCTAAGAAACGGTCATTTGGGACTCAGACTCATCCACACTCGATACATGACGCACTGTTCGGCTTGAATTTCTAAACTTTCATAGCTAGAACACTATTTAGGGAGTACAGAGCCGTTTGGGATTCAGCCTGGGTTTGACGCGACTTCTGACTGAAACACGGACATTTGAAGTGTGTAAAACATTCAGGTGACATTTTTAGACTTTTATACTGCAGTTTTACAGTTAATCATACTGTAAGTGCTTTAATTCAAGCCTGTGATATTAATGATGGAGCTGTTTAGCATGTTGGCTCTTTTGGCCTGTTAGCTAGCTGACCAGCCTAGCTCTAGTTAAGAATATAAGTTGTCAGCCCCTCAGTTTAAACAGAACTGGGTTCTTACTTCATCAGTACAGCAGCAAGCAGCATTAGAGCCAGAGATTATTCCATTAACAGCAAGGATCTTTAGTGATGTGGAGCAGTGATACAGAGTTCAGTCACTGTGAGGTGGTCATAGGTGTGTTTATATCAAGTCATTTACAACAGCTTCGAACACAGCTCAGCCAATCAGATTTTAGAACTGGAACTATCTGTTTTGTATTGGTGTGGTCTGAAACTCAACGCAGCTGTCTTGATGGCTTGCTGCCTGAGATGTCTCATAAGTCAACGCCGTGACTGGGTGCCTTCCTGCCTCAGAATACTGTCTGAGAAGGCAGCGCTTATTACGTTTGAGACACAATTATATTGTTTTTTAATCTAAAATGGCCCTGCCCTGTGCCAGAAATCCGAACTTTAAGCCATGTGAAATAACTGCATCTTTTGAAAAATACTGTACCACTTATTATTATTTTTTTACTATATTCTGTTTTATTTATTTTTTTAGAAAATGATAATACCTCACAAACTTACTATACTCCAGGAACTCAAACCACGTGAGGCAGAACATGACACCATTTTTTATTTGGATAATCATCCTCATCTGCAAATGTATTACGCAATATATTATGCAAGCTTTAGGAAGAAAATGTGCAAATGGGAAATGATTGTAATGCTTTAATGCCAGCGATCTGTAAAAATCGAGACCTGTATATATATCAACATCATCAAATAAACAGTATAAACAGGCGAAGACAATCTACGTTTCTTCTGTTATAAACCAATAATTTTCCACAATGGAGAAAAGGCTGACTACAGTTTCACCTGTATCTTCTGTTTGGTGTAGACCACTGTGTGAAACACCCCTGGTATTCGGGGGTCCCATGTTGTCTGGACGCTAACTCACTCACCATAGCAGCACTGATGCTTCAATGGCAGTAAATGTTTGTTTTAATAGTTCTTTTCAACGATTTTTGTTGTTGCTGGTTTCACTGTTCAAATCAAATCTCTTTTAACAAGATTTCTGTTTTAAATGCTCATTTTCAAATTTTAGGAAAATGTATATACTTTTAGAAATTGAACAGTTCAGAGAAAAACCTCAGATCAATAATGAGGTCAGAGCACTGACCACGTTTTACACCGATGACCGCTTCAACAGATGACTTCCTCTTCGTATGACAAAATGAAACAATGGGGTTGTTTGACATATAAACTGAAAACATGTCAACATTTAATAAATTGTGTTTTAGTGAATGAAACCTGTTTATGTTGATCCTTAGAGAACCTCATTCTGGTAAAACCCAAATAAACGGCACTGAAATGTTTCAGATTTGTTCCGTCAGCAGTTGAACTGTGGCATAACATAACTAAAGCAGCACTACGTAACTTTTGTGTTGTTAAAAATGAAAGTAGTGTCATTACTGAGTGAGAATATAAACATACTAAAATATGGTGCTGCCCCCTTTTACCCTGTTCTTCAGAGGTCAGGACCCCCATGGACCCTCACAGAGCAGGTACTATTTGGGTGGTGGATCATTCTCAGCACTGCAGTAACACTGACGTGGTGGTGGTGTGTTAGTATGTGTTGTGCTGGTATGAGTGGATCAGACTCAGCAGTGCTGGTGGAGTTTTAAACACCTCAGTGTCACTGCTGGACTGAGAATAGTCCACCAACCAAAAATATCCAGCCAACAGCGTCCTGTGACCACTGATGAAGGACTAGAGGATGACCAACACAAACTATGCAGCAGTGTTACTGCAGTGCGGAGAATGATCCACCACCCAAATAGTACCTGCTCTGTGAGGGTCCATGGGGGTCCATGGGGGTCCGGATTCCTCTGAAAAACTTTACAATGAGCTGCAGCAGATCTGTAAATCTGAAAACCCGTCCAGTTTTTTCCAAGAGTTTGGATTCAGTTAATGGGATCTCAGTTACTGTGAGGAAGAGCGCAGAACCACACTAGAACAGAGACTCTACAGAAGAACAGCTGATAAAACAAACATTTACTGACATTGAAGTTACCATCAGTGCTGCTATGGTGAGCGAGTCAGCAGCTAGCCAACATGGGATCCCCTGAATACCAGGGAGGGGGTTCCACACCCTGGTTGTTTGACTCTACACTTGATTCTGATTAACGTAACATCGGTGTGGATGATCACTTTGTAAAGAGTTTGCCAAGTTAATCCCAGCTAGCTTGGCAGATGCTAGAACAATTAGCATGTATTAACATATCTGATAGATATGTTGCAATGCTAACAGTCTGTTATCATGCTAATTTAGACCTATCTGGAGAGCTGAATGTGTCTTGGTGATTAAGTTACAGCATATTATAACTGAAGTGAATTATAAAATGAATCCATAAAAGTCCATAGTGCTTCGTAGGGGAGAAGCATTATGATGATTTTTTATCCTTATCTTGATAAATTATGTCAAAACCTAATTATCTTAAAAAAAAAAAGCTTATCATGAATATTGTCAGTAAATAAAGAACGGTGACTGATAATTAGGCCTGTTTAATTAGATTTAGTGCAGTGCATTTTGTAACATCCACTGTAATTGTAGATTTCCTCTTATTATTATTGTCATTATTATTTTTAGAATTATTATCATTATTTGTTGCAATACAGGTTCTCTTTAATTCAATTTCTGCATATCATGTGGAGTAAAAATGTCATGAAGTATCAGGATGTAATATTTTTGCCTTATCGCCCAATCCTTTGAGCCTTGTTCGGGCAAGAATGCCACTGATTTCATAATAAGAGTCCCCTTTAACGGATACTGATATAATGATTGATTTGAACATTAAAGAAGTGGTTAAAAGTCTGAGTGGCTGGTAAAGTTTGGGCTCCTGCCAGACACTAGAGGTCAGAAAAACTAGACTTGCCTGGTCCTGTTTCCTAACTTGGAAAAGCAGCTTAAAAATAACCCCAGCTAAACAAAGTTAGATTCAGCCTGGGCAAAAATAAACTTAACAAATTTAAAAAGTCGTTTTAATGCTAAAGACGCTGTTCATGCATTTTAACCAGTGTCTATACAGTTTAGGCCAGGGGTCGCAACCAAATGTTAAGAAGAGCCATTTTGCCAAGTTTCAACAAAAATCAAACTACCTTGGAAACCACAACATTTCATGCCCATTTTATTGAAGCAAAGTTTTATCATGTTGGCTGTGAATGTGTCTCAGTTTGTGCTCATATCCTGGTACAAGCTAAAAAATATAAAATAAATGAAAACACAGGGTTACTTTGCTCTGCTTTAAGCTTTAGCTCAGCTATAGCCACTTTTCTCGCATCTCTGGCAGGAAACTTTTCCTCAAAAGTAGAATAATTTCTTGTAAAATGTCTCTTAACGTTCAACTTTTTACGAGACATTTAGGGTGGAACGTTTAATCTTTCTCGTTGAAGATTAAACGTATCAGGAAACCAGCTGGAGTGATTATAAACACAAATCAGTCCATAATCGTTTATCTGCTTCATATTTAGAACTCTAAATCCATCAGTTAGACAGTTTTGTGGATTCTCCTCTGGTGTGCTGTTAGATGAGTTAACTGCTTGAAGCTTTTTCCACACTGAGAGCAGCTGAAAGGTCGTTCTCCCGTATGAACCCTCATGTGGACTGTCTGGGCGCATAATCTAGCAAACGTCTTCCCGCACTGAGAGCAGCTGAAAGGCTTTTCTCCAGTATGAATTTTTTGATGTAGCTTTAAGTCTGAGATTCGTATGAAGCTCTTCCCGCACTGAGAGCACTGGTGAGGTCTGTGCCCTGTATGTTTGTACATGTGATACACAAGACCTTTCGCAGTGCAGAAGCTCTTCTCACACTGAGTGCAGGTAAACGGGCTTTTTCCAGCATGAATCAGCATGTGGGCTTTGAGGTAGCTCTTTTGTGGGAAACCTCTTCCGCACTCAGAGCAGGTGAACGGCTTTTCTCCAGTGTGAATCATCATGTGAGATTTAAGGTGACTCGACTTCCTAAAACTCTTTCCACAGTGGGAGCAACTGAAAAGCTTCTCTCCAATGTGAGTTTTCTCATGTCGTTTTAAGTCTGATAAGCGTGAGAATCTGGAGGCGCACTGAGAGCACCGGTGACGCTTCATTCCTTCGTGTACGCCCATGTGGGCGTTCAGAGCTCTCTCGGAAATGAAGATCTTCTTGCACTGTGAACAGCTTAAAATGTCTTCTCCATGAATTCTCGGGTGATCTTTCTGGTGAGAGGAGGAATCGCTGATGCTTCTTCCTGGACTTTGATGAGATTTATGTGAACTACATGCTTCTTGAAATGGCTTCACTTCTGGTTTGTGCTCCTCTTTAATCTCGTCTTTGAAAACCTCTTCTATGATGAAAACAGGAACAACAATTAACATGATAAATTAGACACATAGTCCTACTGCATAAGATCTCCCACAACGTCAGCAGACATGCACAAACAAATAAAATTTAAAATAATGACTGAATCAGTGGTTGGAGCAGATGAAATGAACTGACCTTTACATTATTCAGGCCATGACTATAAAAAATAGCTACTAAAAATAGATACAATGCCACTGTTAAGAAGGTTTGAAACAAACTGTAGTGAACCTGCCTGGAAGTGGACGCATGTTTATTTTGCCCAATAATCAGCAAGGAGGCAAAAATTCTCACTAAAACTACAGCTGAAGGCCAACTCTGTGCTAAGTATTCAAAAAGCCTTTTCTTTCATCTAACCACAAATGTAGGTGCCTTGAAGCACTTACCAGAGGAACAATGGAACTGGCTGCATAATAATTATATCATGATTTATTATTTCTCTAGAAAACATAGCAAATATCACCTCGTTCTAATATATTCATTTTAGTCACAATGTTGTGTGTTTTTATGGAAGTCCAAAAAGCCATGAGGTAGTTATAACTTTCTGTATTGTTATCTGAAAAGCACGACTTAACTATCTTGTGATCTCAAGATAAAGTTGTCTTGAGATCATGACTCAATTATCTTGTGATCTTGAGATAACAGAAATTGTTATCTTGAAATCACACTTTAATTATCTCTATTATTTCAATCAACTTTATCTTGCGATCATGACAGTCAAGTTATTATCTTGAGGTCATGCCTTAATTATCTTGTGATCTCAAGATAAAGTTGATAATTAAAGTTGTTGTCTTGAAATCACAAGGTACTTAAGTTTTGATTTCAAGATAACTTGACTGTCTTGTGATCTCAAGATAACATTATCTTGAGATCATGACTTAATTATCTTGTGATCTTAAGATAAAATTGATAATTAAAGTTGCTATCTTGGAATCACAAGATATTTAAGTCATAATCTCAAGATAACAACTTGACTGTCTTGTGATAGCAAGATAACAATGTTATCTCGTGATCAAGATTGTTATCTTAAAATCATAACTTAATTACCTTGTGATCTCGAGATAACAAAAGTTATGTTAAGATCACAACACAATTAAGCTGTGATCTCAAGATAACAATCCAGAAAAGCATAGCCACGGTTCATGACCTCTCAGAAATGCCGTAGTTTTCAGATCCCGCAAGAATTCTTTTCACAAGAACATCAATGAATCTCCAAAGTAACCTCACAGTTCTAAAAGAGAACAAGACGTTCCAATGTCCAGTTTGCAATGTAGCATTTTGAACGTCACTGATTTGGTAGGAAAAGGCTTTAATGCTTCACCTCAAAGCTCTTTTCATGTTGGTGTTATGTGGTGTTATTAACAGTTACAACCAGTAGGTGGCAGTATGCACATTCACCCTCATAAACCAAAACAGTACCTTGACTTAAGGGAAGCAGCGTCACAGCAAGAAACAAAAAACACAAATGCAAATGCAAAAATGTGAATGCAAATACTACCTTAAAGTATTTTATGTTGGTGTAAAAAAAGTGGTGTTATTAACAAGTAGAACCAGTAGGGGGCGGTATGCACATTCACCATTCCTTGCTGTGATGCTGCTTCCCTACAGTCCAGGTACTGTTTTGTTTTATGAAGGTGCACCATGCTTATTTTGTCTCTGTGAACACTCAATGTTAGTCCTTGAAAAATATCACACATCCAGTGATGTTCTGCACAGATTAGAGAAGCAGTAAACTCAGTACACAGTAATAATTATTTGTGCATTAATGTTGTGATTTTGTATCTTAAAAGTTTCAAGATAATCTGGATGTGGGTTTTATGGCATCAACTGTGTTTATCTACTTCATGCAGTGTCAGTTATCTCTAAAAATGCTGTTTAAGCAGTTAATTTCCTAAAAATGTTACTTATTGTCATGTGTAGGGGTTAAAATATTTCCTAAGCATTTCATGTTTTCAGTGTTTTCAGCTGCAGAGACTCATAATAGTAGCTGTGTAACTCGTTTTATCCAAACCATTTTTAAAATCAGTTTGTTTACCACAACACTGTTTTGTTTTATGAAGATGGAAACTGCTGCCTATTGCAGTCCAACTAAGACAGGGGTCGCAACCCAAATGTTAAGAAGAGCCATTTTGTACTTTCAACAAAAATCAAACCACCTTGGGAGCCACAACATTTTATGTCCATTTTACCATCTTGGCTGTAAACATGTCTCAGTATGTCTTAAAGTGCTAGTATAGGCTAAAAATATAAACGAAAACACAGGGTTACTTTGCTCTGCTTTAATCTGTAGCTCAGCTATAGCTGCTTTTCTCGCTTCTCCAGCAGGAAACTTTCCTGTAAAAGTAGAACACTTTCTTGTAAAAATGTCTCCAAACAGTTGATTTTTTATAAGGCTGAAGTCGCTTCTCATTCGTTCAGCTTCTTGTTTCTTGAATTTTCCAGTTCCACCTTAAATGGCACCTGAGGTGCTAGAATATAACTTCTACACCATTTAAGATGGAATGGGAAAATCTGAACGAGACGCTGGTGAATGAGGATATAAGCTTGGCGACCTTTTAGTGTTTCAGTTTCTCATTGCAGATTAAACGTATCAGGAAACCAGCTGGAGTGATTATAAACACAAATAAGTCCATTCATCTCCAAATTATTGATGTTCGTCTTAAATCTCTCTCTTTGTTGTTTCGTTAGCTACTAGCTAGGCGAGACTGTTGTCTGTGTTGCTATGGTGACCAGCAGTCTGCGCTGATCTTCAGGGTTAAAGGGTGAATCAGCAGTTCTACATTAACTCCAGAGTTTAAGACCATTTACTGTTAAACTGTGTTGAACGATCAGCAGAGCTTTATTTTACTGTAAAGGAGGATATTTTATTTTTACCTACTAATCTGATTCAGCTGTGGAGCCACAACAGGGCAGTAAAAGAGCTGCATGCTGCTGACCACTGAACTAAGAGAAGTCTGCTAATAAAACAGCCGACCAGCCTATTCACCACGGTTTTGCGCTCCCTGGTTCCCTTTATTCCATCAATTCTCAGTGCGGAGCTTTGCTAGGGAGCTGCTTGAGAAGATAAGGGTTACTTTATCATCTGTATAAGCAATTTATTTCATCCCAACAAAGTCCACACTGACCTTTGTCCATCTCCTGGTCTTCAGTCTTCAGTCCAGTCGCCTCCATCACGCTGATATCCTCACTTTCCTCTTTAACACTGGACATTTTCACAGATTTCCCTCTCAGAGCTCACAGAGAGTAAACAACTCAATCCAACTCTGTCCCAGACTGAAAACTAATGAGGAAAAAGTTCTCTGACCATCTGACCAGCTGCTCACCCTCAGACTAAGCTGAGCTGAAGGTCCACAGTGTGAGGTTTTATGCTAACAGTGCAGTCAAACTGCTGCACCTCACACACAGAGAACTGCACACATTAACACCAATTCACAGCAGACAGCATCTCTTTAAGAGCCGTTCTCACTCTCTCACCTGCTCAGCTGAGTTAATGGAGCTCAGAGAGTCTCTAACTGCTCTGTGATGGTCACTCAGTCTGGCTGAATGGGACTGACCAGTTAAGGGACCACAGATTTGACCTGTATGAATATCAATGAGGGGAGATTGTGTATCTCAGCAGAAGGGAAAACCCAACAAGCCCACTTACATTTACATCCCAGCCAACATTTCCATATGGGACTCACGTGTGGTAGCCCATGTTGGCAACTAAAGGGGCCAAGTTGGGCTGTAAGTGTGGGCTGTGTTAACAATCATCCACAGGCCCCACATGGGCCTCTTACTGTGTTCCCTTATATGGGCTAATAATGGGGTCAAGGTGGGGTACAAGTGAGTAAACCTGGACCCCAAGTGGGTTATCACATATGAGTCATTCTACAGAAACGTCCACTTTTCTATCTCTCCATAGGAGTCACTGGTGTTACTGGTCCTCATTGGTGTTACACATAATAAAGGGACACCAGAGACATTTTTAATGAACAATGCATTTTACAGAATGGCTGCTACAGAGCATCAAACCACATGATGTCAATCATGGAATATCCACCAAAATATGGAATTTAATCCATTTGTGTTCTATTTTTTCACAATGACCTCAGGATAAAGTCGGTCACACCAGTGACTTCAGCTAAAAGCTTCATATGAAATCATGAGCTAAATGAGAAAATAACTGATAGCTGAAAGACACAGTGGACTCACCATGTGCTTTTCTTCATAGATCCTCAGAAAACAGGTAAAAGGAAGTCAAGTGATGTCATCAGAGTGACTTTTATTTCAAAATAAATTTTTTCAAAACAGATTTTTTGTTACACAGTAACACCAGTGGCACGACTCCTGGGGACAACAACTCTCATTATATATTTTATAATATTTATTTGGTGTTTGTTTTCTTTGTCATTTAAACCATATATTTCATTGTCATGTATAGATTATTACAGTTAAAATGGTAGAAAAACATGTTATTACCTCAAAATATGGCCTCAGCCTTTATACATGACTGTGAGGACGAGCTCCTCTGTGGTGTCTGGAATTCTATATCATTGATTTAAAAAACAATATTGCTAAATTGAGTCTCAACAAGGTGTAATTGTTAAAATAACTTATTGTTTTATTTTAAAATATAAATAAATTGTAACCCTAACATTTTAAGTGTAATATATCTGTAAACACAAGGGACACAAAAATGGACGTTTCTGTAGAATGACTCACATATACAGTCACCATGGGTAACATTTCTGGCCAATTTCTGTAATATTTTAAATGCCCCCCACCTGTTCACACTGTAATTAACAGCAGGCATCACTTTGCTATTACAACCAGATTAGACACAGAATGCCCAGTCAGTGTGCTTTCATACTACATATTCATTATTAATTATATTCAATTTGATATTATGCAAAATTTTAAATGTGCAGAATCCTCTGTATTACCTACTATAAAACAAAAAATAAAGAGAAAAAGTAATTAAATCACATTTAAAGCTTTTTAATGGTGGTTAAAATGTCTGTAATTTCATAAAGTTTTAAATGTTTTATCTAATAAACATGTGACCTCTGCACATATAACTATATGGCAGTGTTTAAGGAAGACACCACTTTATAAGCAGCTTCTGCTGCGATGATGCTCATTTCCACTAGCTGGCTGTTTTAAATTTAAGGTTCACTGGTTTACAGGTTTTATCCTCAGATATTTGGACTAACATCTCATTTTCTCAACATAACGTCCCATGAAATTGGACCAAATATCACTTTCTTACCTCCATAATTCTGTTCATGAATCATCAGCAGTGCAAGGCTAGCCTTTTAGCTTTGTGAGGCTGGGGGTGCCTAGAATGTTCTAGAGGAATGCAACATTGCGCTGTGTTAAATCTGATTCAGGATCAGTCATTTTGCCAAAATGACAAAACACTTTGAACCAGTTTCAACCAGTTATAGAAACTGGTTCAAATCTTTAATTACAATTCAAGCAATGTGGAAAAACACAGACATTTGTAGACTGTCTTGTACTAATGTTGAAGTGAGCAGAGACAGAAAATTATGTACCACTTTATTCTGTATTTACGATATTTTAATGGCAAGAAGGAGGAGAGGGTTGCCGCCTTTAACCCTTAAATTGCCAGGGCCCAGTTTTATTACACACTTCTATAATCTATGAATAGCTCAGCCAGTTTGCATTGAAGTCTCTGTAGTTACTGAATAATGAGCTGTTGTATGTTAAAAGCCTGAGATTTTAAGGGGTAAAGTTCCTGGGTACAATTGTCAGCTGATCTCTTAAGTGGGAGAGCAACACTGCTGCCTTGTTGGGGGCTTTTCTTCAAAAGACACTCGGTGTGACTAGAGACTGCATGATGTCGTCGCTTTCCAAAGAAAAACAAGTATCTGCAAAATGATAACTTTACAAGAGAGAGCAAAAACATAATTTGCGTTTAATGTAGGTTTATGTTAATAGATTTTATTCAATGCAAATTTGGAGCATTTCTATTGGTCCATTCATCATTAAATTTTCACACAGTGTCAAAGACAACTGCCTGGCTCAAATTATGCAGAAAAATAAAAATCACAATAAATGGAGATACTTGTTTTTTTTTTGGAGAGCGATGATATGCTTTCTCTATAGCTGTTATGGAAAGTGTGTTGACCTTCTCCATATGTGTCTGGTATGGGAGTTGACTGATGAGAGATTCTATATATGCCAGAAGGATGGAAAAAAAAGCATTAAAATCTATGCAAATAGCGAGGGAAAGAAGGATGTATCTTTCTTGGCCGATTTTAATCCCAAATATGCAATCGAGTCATATTTCAGCTGAGGCGCCAGAATGTAACCACTGCACCATTTAAGGTGGAACGGGAAAATTCGATCAAGAAGCTGGCAAATAGGAAGCCGACCTCAGCCTCTTCATATCTATTTTACTAATTAAAACATTTTTCCTTAAGAATATTATTGCATATTTGGTTCCTGTTTCACTGTGAACTCGCTGTGTGAATGTGCAGAGCTGTTGCTAACGCAGTTTTTTGTCAAAGTTTTAAGGATTAGTTTCTGTTAGCACGTTCGCATCCAAGTTCGCATCTTAGCTTAGTTTACGCTTCACTAGCTTCATGACCTCCGAAGTTGGCAGGGAATGAAAATAAAAATTTAAGTGTAAACACACTGAACCAGTTACTGACACAATCTGATTTTCTGCAGTTATCAGATTATGAAGTGTAAACACGCAGAACCAGTTACTGACACAATCTGATTTTCTGCAGTTATCAGATTATTACGTGTAAACGCGCTGAACCATTTACTGACACAATCTGATTTTCTGCAGTTATCAGATTATTAAGTGTAAACGCGCTGAAGCAGTTACTGACACAATCTGATTTTCTGCAGTTATCAGATTAAGTGTGAACGCACTGAACCAGTTACTGACAAAATCTGATGTTCTGCAGTTATCAGATTATTAAGTGTAAACGCACTGAACCGGTAACTGACACAATCTGATTTTCTGCAGTTATTGGATTATTAAGTGTAAACACACTGAACCAGTTACTGACACAATCTGGTTTTCTGCAGTTATCAGATTAAGTGTGAACGCACTGAACCAGTTACTGACACAAACTGATGTTCTGCAGTTATCAGATTATTAAGTGTAAACGCACTGAACTGGTTACTGACACAATCTGATTTTCTGCAGTTGTCAAATTATTAGACGTTACTGAGAGTAAACCAGACAGAGTTGTGCACTTTTGAGGAGAAGGTTAGGTTTACTTCAAGACGTCCTCATACAGTTATTCACAGGTCACCAGTTTGGTTCTGTCTCCCACAGAGGGTGGGAGTAAACAAAAATTATAGTGAGTGTTATCTCCCTCAACTGGCCCAAACAATCTTCTTGGTACAAGTCTCAAGGTTATGCTCTCATGATACAGAGACAAAAGTACAGAACCTACTAAGATGACCTTACGGAAAGACTACTCTGATAAACAGAATCAGACAGAATAAACATATAGGAGTTACACAATTAACCACAATCCAACAGTATATATAATTTAGATAATTTTATGATTAAATTTAATATAAAGTGCTCATCTGGGTTTAATAAAGGGTCATGAAAAAGTAATAAAACAGTGACATTTAAGGAGAATTTCCAAAAATTAAATCACAGCACTGTTAACAGGGCAGCATCTATATATTTATTCATTCAATCAACAATCGAGCAGCAAGTGCAAAATAAAAGTGAGAAACAAAAACACATAAAATTGAACAAATCAACAGAAAATTCCATTAAAAACTGAAGTATTCACTTAGTTTCAGTTAAGATCTTTTTGATGATGATCATATTAAGTTAAAACAAAGGTTATACCCAGGTTATGATTGACAGTCACACTGTCTTTTGAGCGTTGTTTCTGAAATATATTTGTTTATGCTTAGATGGTTGCTTCATATTTTGTTACAAATGATTGTAATATTAAGAAATGTTCAGAAGTCTTAATCAGTGCAGATCACCAACACCTTCAATCCTGTTTAATGTACTTGTTCTCATAACCTGGGGTGTCCAAACTTTTTTTTAGAAAGAGCCAGATCATATTATATCAAATACCCAAGGCCTGAAATATTATTTACAAAAAAGTTTTCAAAATATTAGTACAATCTGAGCTTTCTGTGAGCTATAGTGTTTCCTATCACTGTATAAAAGATGCAAGAGTCTTCTTTTATTGTTGGATTGATCAGAGCAATTTGGAAATTTGCAAATTTTTTAAATTTGTAAACTTTATGAAACAAGAAGAGTAGAAAAAACTGGATAAATGGCTAAGTTTCTGTTTGACCGTAGACAGTTAATATTTACTGATCTACGTGAAATTTCTCTGATAAGAAGTTGGTGCTGTGACACTCGGGAGCTCACAATTTAGTTTCTCTGCCCTCTCGTGAATATTTATTGTAATTCATTAGTCTTTTGACATATGAGGCCCTCACACTTACTTTGGGTCTCATGGAAAAAGTATTCAAATTTCCATTTTGCCAAATCACCAGTTCTCAGTGTTAAGTCTGTGCTTTATAGCTGTACTTTTGAATAAGCGTCATTAAGTAAAACTGGTCTAATCAGGGAAGAACTGCTCTTTAACTTTATCTAATTTCATTTCCACGACATGGAGCATTACACTGTAATTTGGAGCAGTGCTACCACCATCAGGTGAAGGGAAAAACTACAACATACTGGCTGGCGGGTCACTTATAACACACCCTTAAACAGAAGCCAAGGGCCAATTAAAAGCTGTCCGTGGGCCACGTTTGGCCCTGGGGCTGGACTTTGGACACCACTGCTCATAATATACATAGTAAGATACTATCATATATAATAATGACAGTAGTAATTAATGGTCATTGTTCCATCTGTATTTGTTTATCTGGGGCCAGCACAGTGGGTAGCGCTGGCCAGTGGGTAGCGCTGTCGCCTCACAGGAAGAAGGGTCTGGGTTCGATTCCCTGGCCGGGCAACCAGAGTTTTTTCTGTGTGGAGTTGGTATGTTCTTCTCATGTCTGCATGGGTTTCCTCTGCGTTCTCCAGTTTCCTCCCACAGTCCAAAGACATACAGAAGATACTAAATTGCCCCTCGGTGTGTGTGAATATATATGTTTGTCTGTCTGCACTGCGATGGACTACTGACCTGTCCAGGGTGTTTCCTGCCTTCCAACCATTGACTGCTGGGATAGACTCCAGCATCCCCCTTGATCCAGAAGGATAAGCGGTTTGGAAAACGTGTGTGTGGAATTGTCTGTTGTTGTTCCATCTGTATTTGTTACTATTCAATAGTATTTAGAACCAATATATTAACCTATATATAGAATATAGAACCTATATATTTTTAAGAGAGTTCAAACTAGGTGACCTACCCTGTTTCGTGAAATCTCTTCTGGTGTTTATTTAGAGTGCTAACCTGCTTAAAGCCTTTTCCACAGTGAGAGCAGATAAAAGGCCTTTCTCCAGTGTGAATCCTCATGTGGTTTACAAGGATATGTAATGCTGAAAAACTCCTCCCACACACAGTACAGGTATAAGGCTTTTCTCCAGTGTGAATCTTTAGGTGGCTTTTAAGGCCAGATGGAGTTGAAAAGCCTCTTCCACACTCTGAGCAGATGAATGGCGTTTCTCCATTATGAATCAGCAAGTGGGTTTTGAGGCTGCATGGTTTTGTAAAACGTTTTCCGCACTTACAGCATGAAAATGGCTTCTCTCCAGTATGAACTTTTGCATGTTTTTTGAGATGGCTTGGCACTGAGAAGCCTTTTCCACACTCAGAGCAGGTATATGGTTTCTCTCCAGTATGAATCATCATGTGAATTTTAAGGCTGCAGGATTGTCTAAAGTGTTTTCCGCACTCGCAGCAGGTAAACGGCTTTTCTCCGGTATGAATTTTTGCATGTTTTTCAAGATGGCTTGGAGCCGAGAAACATTTTCCGCACTCCGAGCAGGTGAACGGCTCTTCTCCATTATGAATCAACATGTGGGTTTTAAGAAATCTTGGTAATGAGAAGCGGGTTCCACACCGAGAGCAAGGGAAAGCCTTTTCTCCAGTGTGAGTTTTTTCATGCCGTTTTAAATCCGGGAATCGTTTGAAGCTCCACTCACACTGAGAGCACTGATGAGGTCTCGTTCCGTCATGGACGTCCATGTGGCGTTTCAGAGCTCTCTCAGAGGTGAAGCTCTTCCCACACTGTGAACAGCTGAAAGCTTCTTCTTCAGTATGAATTCTCAGGTGATCCTTCTGATGGGAAGAATCACTGAAGCTGTTTCCAGGCTCAGTGTTTTGGTGAGATTCCTGTGAGATATATTCCTCCTGAAATGGAGTTACTTCTGGTTTATGTTCCTCTTTGATGTCTTGTAATACGTCCTCTGTAATAAAAAAGGAAAACAAGTCATTATGATCAAATAAAGAATCTTGCAAAATAAAGGCCAAATCAAACTGAAATAATAGCTGAGACAATCATATACAGACATTCTGGGTCTTAAATGCATTAAATGCATAAGGTCTGTTCCAGTCAATTGACGTAAAATTGAACAAAAAACATTTAGAGCCCATTTATGAGCGCATTTGTGGTTCAACTAAGCTATTTATCTGCTTGGTAAGCATTTATTGATTACTATTACAATAAACACAATTAACATTAACATTAACATTAAGTAGTATATACATTAAGTAGTGATTTTAGGCCAGTGTATATGTTTAACCTTTCCTTGAGAAGTCTAGTATTATTTGTGGTTATCATCCAATAGAGACCCAAAGCTTTTTGTCTTTGGAGGGAAAACCATGTCCCTCGTGGCGGTAAACATTCCGCATAGTTTAAAAAGGAGTGAATGGGACATTGTTGCACTCCGAGGCTTAAACAGCTTTAACATAAAACGTGACAACAGTGATATGACATATTTTTGGCCCTGTTTTGCATCTTGGAATCCTGTAAAACATTAAATCAGGTTTTTAATCTTATTTTTCGTGCAACCCACCACTCAACAGCTTTTTGGTGGATTTTTAATTTTACCACACCAAAAAATAGAAGCGTGCAATGCAAATCAGTGGAAAGCATGGAGTTGTTTTACCGCACAGCATGGCTGTGGCCTAAACGTGCTCTGTCCCTATATCCGGTTTATCTAATCCTGTGCTTCTCAACTGATCTGCACATTTTAGTGCCTTTCCTGCTTTAATATACCCACAAAAACTCAACAGCTGAACAGTTGGATCAGGTGTGTTGGGAGCAGGGAATTTATTTTATTAGAACTTCATTCTGGATAATAATTAAACACTGAAATTAAACACTGATAAAAAATGACATACAAACTAAGACCTTTTTCGCATCTCGCATACATTTAATTCCCCGAAATGTCTTCTGTACGACCATCTGTGGGAGGACCATTTGTAGGAGCTCCATCTCACATTTATACCAGAAGAACCCTCCTTACCCTGTTTACACTGAGTATATAGAGTCCACACTGACCTTTGTCCATCTGCTGGTCTTCTGTCTTCAGTCCAGTCGCCTCCATCACACTGATATCCTCACACTCCTCTTTAACACTGGACATTTTCACAGATTTCCCTCTCAGAGCTCACAGAGTAAACATCCCAATCCAACTCTGTCCCAGACTGAAAACTAATGAGGAGAGAGTTCTCTGACCAGCTGACTGGCTGCTCTCCCTCACTCTGAGCTGAATCTGAACACTGTTTGTGTAACAGTGTGGTTCTCTTCTTCTTCCTCTTCTTCTTCTACCGCCTCCTCTTTTTCTTCTTCTTCTGTCTTTGGTTTGAGGCGCATCACGTGCAAAGTGTTGCAGCAGTGCCCTCTTCTGGGCAGTATGAGCATAAGCACTGACTATGGTGGAGTATGTCTCAGATTTCCTGACTATAGAAGTGAATAGACGCCTGTAATCCGAACTGTAATCTGTATTAATAATTTCTAGAGAATAGAGAATTTCTTATACCCCGATGTCCTGTTAAAAAATTCAGGCATAGGGTTTCTAATAGGGTTTTATAGCGTTTGTAATGGGTCATTAGGATTTTTATTAGGGTTTATAGGATTTGTGGTAGGTCATTAGGATTTTTATTAGAGTTTACAGAGTTTGTAGTAGATTATTAGATTTTTTATTAGGAGTTATAGGTTTTGTAATAGGTCAGCCAATTTGTTGCCAGCATCAAATTCAAATAGGCATACATATTTCAAAAAACAACGTTTCGAAGTTTCAACATTTGCTATATTGTCTTTATACTGTTTGCAATTAAATATGAGGTTGTAATCACATCAGGACAACATTATTGATAATAATTGATTTTTCTTATTTAAAACTACAATATTCTGCAGTAATACAGAATTTACATGGACCATTTGGATCTTGTGGCCTCTCCTAGTCTACGAAATGCCAATATTGACAGCAAAGCCATCAGAGAGAACAGTCAGCAGTCATCTCAGAAGACGGCTGGGGCTACGAAGGAGCCTCAATAGCACCACGCTCTAAGGGCACAGCAACAAGCAATTGACCATCACATGCTTGGAAGAAATCCGAAGATGGCCAAAGCTGAAATTGAGGTGAGAACAGGGAGGTAGTAGAGAGGAAAGGAAGATGTTCTGCAGGCAGAGACGCAGCCCCATCACAACAGTCTGGTGGGAGTGGTGAATCAAGACAGAGCTGGATCTTTTCCTACCCCACATATTAACATCACCCAAGGGAAAGGGAAGCATCACCTAGTCCAAGATAAGGTGAGAGCGCCAGTGGAGGAGGAAAGGATCTGCAGAACAGTGGCGATGAGCTAATAGGAAGCATGCACCAAATGGGGTAACGCCATGGATTGGAAAGTGACATGGGCTGCCATTTTTCCCTCAGCCACTGACAGATTTACCTCAGTAATGCCGTATTCCACTCAGCCACTGGCAGATTTACCTCAGTAATGCTGTATTTCTTTCAGCCACTGACAGATTTACCTCAGTAATGCCGTATTCCACTCAGCCACTGGCAGATTTACCTCAGTAATGCTGTATTTCCCTCAGCCATCAGCAGATTTACCTCAGTAATGCCAAATCTCCCTCAGCCACCAGATTTACCACAGTATGCCATTTTTCCCTCAGCCACCAAAAGATTTACCTCAGTAATGCTGTACTTCTTTCAGCCACCGACAGATTTACCTCAGTAATGCTGTATTTCCCTCAGCCACTGACAGATTTACCTCAGTAACGTCGTATTTCCCTCAGCCACCGACAGATTTATCTCAGTAATGCCATATTCCACTCAGCCACCAGCAGATTTACCTCAGTAATGCTGTACTTCTTTCAGCCACTGACAGATTTACCTCAGTAATGCCGTATTTCCCTCAGCCACCGACAGATTTATCTCAGTAATGCCATATTCCACTCAGCCACCAGCAGATTTACCTCAGTAATGCTGTATTTCTTTCAGCCACCGACAGATTTACCTCAGTAATGCTGTATTTCTTTCAGCCACCGACAGATTTACCTCAGTAATGCTGTATTTCTTTCAGCCATCAGCAGATTTACCTCAGTAATGCTGTATTTCCCTCAGCCACCAGCAGATTTACCACAGTATGCCATTTTTCCCTCAGCCACCAGCATATTTACCACAGTATGCCATTTTTCCCTCAGCCACCAGCATATTTACCTCAGTAATGCTGTATTCCCTCAGTTATCTAACATATCTTTCACTCAGCTACAGCAGATTTACCTCAGTAATGCTGTATTTCCTCGGTTATCTAACATATCTTTCACTCAGCTACAGCAGATTTACCTCAGTAATGCTGTATTTCCTCGGTTATCTAACATATCTTTCACTCAGCTACAGCAGATTTACCTCAGTAATGCTGTATTTCCTCGGTTATCTAACATATCTTTCACTCAGCTACAGCAGATTTACCTCAGTAATGCTGTATTTCCTCAGTTATCTAACATATCTTTCACTCAGCTACAGCAGATTTACCTCAGTTACTGCTGTGTATCACACAGCAAAAGATGTGTCTGTTTCTGCCATTGTGATAAAGAGTGCATATCTGCCTCTATAGACTCATCTGAGGGAGACAGTGTACATCTTCCACATTAGCTGGTAACTTTAACATCGATAATGATATTTATCACTATGTATAAAATTTATAAACACATCGTATCTGACAGCAAACCGCGCTGCTGCTATCGCTGCTCGCTAACAGACGCCGCTTTGCTCCGTTTTGGCGCCGAACCACACAGTTTGAATCTCCATGGTAACAGCGAAGCCTCTGATTGGTGGAGCTCGCTCTAGGGCGTATGGGTAATGTATTTCTTTATGAGGGAATGAAACGCGACGTTTTGAAACACGCTGGCTCGTGGCTTTAACTGGAGCACATATAAACATCTCATAGTCTCGTAGCTCATGGTAAAGCCTGCGTGGGCTGGGTAAAATATAAATGGGTAAAGATCAAATTCCCTATGGCGATTATGAATGGGATGTTCAATTCTAAAACCAGAATGTTCAGCTCTAAAGCTACATTCACACAGCCTCAGTGCTCAAATCCGATCTCTCTGACACGATGGTTCACACTCGTTTAGGTAAATGATTCAAATCTGCCATTAATGTGAATGAACCGGCGTCCTGACATGACCCGCATGCGCACATCCTACTCAGTAACGTCACGTGAATGAATCACGTGTGTCACGTGCATCATCAGCAAACAAACAAACGAGCAGAACGAGCTTCACTGAAAAGATAATTTACTCTGATCAGCTCTCAGCTTCATTATTGGAGCGAGACGAAGGAGAAAAAGGTGAGATGAGTTGCTTTTCCACTGTTTACAAGCTTTAACTTCTGTTCGGCGCTGCTGCCATGGTAACACTGAATGATGGCCCACCTGCAGTGGGGAAAAAGCACATGAATTCCAATCTGAGCGTTCACAAGAAGGTCGTATGGCCACGAATCGGGTACGTATCTGATCTAGGACCACGTATGAAAGTGGCTCAGGTCGGATTTGAAAAGATCAAATTTGTGTGTCCACACAGCCCTGAAAACATCAGATCCGAGTCACATTAGGGCAAAAAATCGGATCTGTGCCACTTCAATCCGGTAATCTAACCTACTGGGTCAGAAACTTCTGAAACCTCAGAAAAAACTGTGAGTCTGACACTGACCTTCCATCTGCTGCTCTGCAGTCTTCAGTCCAGTCACCTCCATCCACTGATATCCTCACATTCCTCTTTAACACTGGACATTTTCACAGATTTCCCTCTCAGAGCTCTCAGAGAGTAAACATTCCAATCCAACTCTGTCCCAGACTGAAAACTAATGAGGAAAAAGTTCTCAGACCATCTGACCAGCTCAATCTCCATCTCTTCTTCTGCTCTTCAGCTTTTGCTGTAAAAGTTTGTGTTCTAACGCAGCTAACCTAGACCTCATCTTTATTCAGGTTAGAACCGGTAGTGGGTACTGTCCATACTAGAATTGCATTTATTTGGTGCTATTTTATTATTGTTGTTTAAAAAACAACATTACCAGTGACTGTTCATCTTTTCAGAAAACATTTCTTCTACATGGCAAGCTGGAACCTTTACAGTATTTTATGTTTTTGCTTATTTGTTTGTTTATTGTTTGTAGACTCAAACTGAAACACAGTGATTATTCATTCATTCATTCATTCATTCAGAAACAACTGCAAAGTAAAATTCAGGACCAAAACTCTGTACAAAATGAATAAAATACATAGAGTGAATTGTAACAAAAAAGGCATTTACATAATTGAGAACAATTTAAAGTTCTTCAAGCGTTGTTCAGACAATAGTTCTACAAAGAACCACAAACACTGAAAGAACCATTTGCATGCTTAAATCAGACTGGCTGGTTGGCAAGTCAGGAACACAACCTCTGATGGGCTGACAAGTTATTAACACAGCCTCTGATTGGTCAACAAGACAAGAACACAGCCTCTGATTGGCCAACAAATCAGGAATGCGCCCTCTGATTGGTCAAAGAGTAAGGAACACAGCCTCGGATTGGCCGGTTGGCAAGTCAGGAACAGGCTGTCGGTTTGAGGAACCTCAGACTCATGCATCCTCCATCTTTAGCTTCATTGTTTATTCCTTCACCAGCTAGTCAGCACCCAGCACATGCATTTCCACTCACATAATTATATGCAGAAAATGAAAAATGCATCTTTTAAATATGATCGGATCCGTCTCTAAACATCTCTGAGTGTGATCTGATCTTGAACTGATCGTAATCCACTCACAGTGCATCCTGGGAGTGTTTACACCCATTTTTTCATGCAGTCACATGAAATCCAAACATGATCCGATCACATATTAATGCCAGGTGTAAAGAGACCCAATAACGAAAACAATAACCATCTATTTTATTGTTCTATCTGCATTTGTTACTATTTAATAGTATTTGAACCCATCCATATTTTTTTTAAGCAAGTTCAACATAGAGACCTACCCTGTTTCGTGAAATCTCTTCTCGTGTTTATTTAGAGTGCTAACCTGCTTAAAGCCTTTTCCACAGTGAGAGCAGATAAAAGGCCTTTCTCCAGTGTGAATCCTCATGTGGTTTACAAGGATATTCAATGCTGAAAAACTCCTCCCACACACAGTACAGGCATAAGGCTTTTCTCCAGTGTGAATCTTTAGGTGACTTTTAAGGCCGACTGGAGTTGAAAAGCCTTTCCCGCACACAGAGCAGGTAAATGGTGTTTCTCCAGTATGAATCATCATGTGGGTTTTAAGCTGGCTTCTTATTGTAAAGCCTTTTCCGCACACAGAGCAGGCGAACGGCTTCTCTCCAGTATGAATCATCGTGTGAATTTTAAGGCTGCACAATTTTGTAAAGCGTTTTCCGCACTCAGAGCACGTAAACGGCTTTTCTCCAGTATGAGTTTTTGCATGTTTTCTAAGATGGCTTGGTATTGAAAAGCCTCTTCCGCACTCAGAGCAGGTAAATGGCTTTTCCCCATTATGAATCAGCAAGTGGGTTTTGAGGCTGCATGGTTTTGTAAAGCATTTTCCGCACTTACAGCATGAAAACGGCTTCTCTCCAGTATGAATTTTGGTGTGTTTTTTGAGATGGCTTGGCACTGAGAAGCCTTTTCCGCACTCAGAGCAGGTAAATGGTTTCTCTCCAGTATGAATCATCATGTGAATTTTAAGGCTGCAGGATTCTGTAAAGTGTTTTCCACACTCAGAGCAGGTAAACGGCTTTTCTCCTGTATGAATTTTTGTGTGTTTTTTAAGATGGCTTGGCGCCGAGAAACATTTTCCGCACTCCGAGCAGGTGAACGGCTCTTCTCCATTATGAATCAACATGTGGGTTTTCAGGAATCTTGGTAAGGAAAAGCGCGTTCCACACCGAGAGCAAGGGAAAGCCTTTTCTCCAGTGTGAGTTTTTTCATGCCGTCTTAACTCCGTTAAACGTCTGAAACTCCACTCACACTGAGAGCAGGCGAACGGCTTTTCTCCAGTATGAGTCTTTTCATGTTGTCTTAAATCCGTGAAGCGTTTGAAGCTCCACTCACACTGAGAGCACTGATGAGGTCTCTTTCCGTCATGGACGTCCATGTGGCGTTTCAGAGATCTCTCCAAGGTAAAACTCTCCCCACACTGTGAACAGGTAAATGGTTCTTCTCCAGTATGAATTCTCAGGTGATCTTTCTGGTGGGAGGAATCACTGACACTGTTTCCAGGCTTAGTGTTTTGGTGAGATTCCTGTGAGATATATTCCTCCTGAAACAGCTTCACTTCTGGTTTATGTTCCTCCTTGATGTCTTCTCGTGGCACTTGTTCTGTAGTAAAAAAGAAAAACAAGTCATTATGGTCACAAAACTCTATAACAACACAAATACAAACAACATTCATACAGTAAGTAGTGATTTTATGTGTCATTGTGTTTGTTTAACCATTTCCTACCCTTTCCTCAAAGAAGCCTAGGGTTATCATAATTATCAATCAGTACCTGCTTTATCTAATCAATACGTCATCAGGAGATGCTGATGGAATTTATCATATGCAAAAATAAAAATCGTGTTGGTTACCAAGATAAGGCAGCCTTAAAAGTGCTTAACTCACTGAAAAACTTTTGTCTGCAAGTTCTTACAGAATGGACAAAGTATTGCATCATAAACCAGACCCCAACTGACCTTCATGGTGCAATGCCAAGGTCACAAATTTTGTAAAAATGTGATTTCTGAGTCATGGTTAGAACGGTTCAGTTTACCATGTCAGGTGGTCTGACCTCAGGAGAATCATGAAAATGTGGAATTATTATAATAATGTTTATTTATGTGAAAAAATATAGTATAAACTCAAGTTCAAAGGTTTCTGCGGCTGTTTATGTAGAGCCTGTTTAATTTGAAATTAGTCTGAAAAGTCAGTCGGCGCAACCAGTCAGTCAGATGGAGCAACCAGACCGGCACAGTTTAATAACTGACACAGGCAATTAAAGCTTAAATAACACTCACTATATTTAAGAAAATACCCAGATATCAATGCAAATGTTCATTCAGAGCAAACCTGCTGTACTTCATAGAGTCCACACTGACCTTTGTCCATCTGCTGGTTTTCAGCTTTCAGTCCAGTTGCCTCCATCACACTGATATCCTCACACTCCTCTTTAACACAGGACATTTTCACTGATTTCCCTCTCAGAGCTCCCAGAGAGTAAACATCTCAATCCAAGACTGTCCCAGACTAAAAACTAATGGGGAGAAAGTTCTCTGACCATCTGGCCAGCTGACCAGCTGCTCTCCCTCCATCTGAGCTGAATCTGAACATTGTTTGTGTAACAGTGTGATGCTCTTCTTCTTCTTTATTTTGGTTTTAGGTGCCTCACATGCAAAGTTTTGCAGCGGTGCCCTCTTCTGGGCAGTATGAGCATAAGCACTGACTGTGGTGGAGTATGTCTCAGATTTCCTGACTACAGGAAAGAATAGACACTTGAATATGAAATGGAGCAACAATCATATTAGAGATGTACTGAGCCCCTAAAATGACATGGTGATAATCTTTTACTGAGTGGCCACAAATTAATATATTGATGGCACAAATTAATACACTGAGGCCACAAGTTGATCTATTGAGGCCACAAATGAATATATTGATAACACATTTTAATATATTGATGCCACAAATTACTATATCGAGGCCACAAGTTAATATATTGATTTTTCAATTTCAGAAATGACGCCAAGCAGCCAGCTTGATATGATTTGCAGGATTATATTACTGAAATTATAAACTGTTCTTGCTTTAATAGTATCATGAATAAGACAGAGACTGGATGCGATTACAGGGTGACTTTACTGAGACAGACTTGTAAACAAACAATCCTAGTTGAATTAATGGCGAGCAGCAACCAAAAAAACAGGAACAGATCAACGTAGAAGGATTTAAAGAACCAAAACATGGCTCAGAACTCACCAAGATAGTGAGAGACCACAAGCATTTGGAGCAAACTGAGGGCCAGATGTATTAAAAATGCATCCAAAATTAATGTTTCATCGACTAAAACTGTAGCTCATCATACACACTCTGAGCAGCTCCAACCATTAACTGCACACTCAGACTCGGGGCTTAAAAGAGGCAGTGAAATAACGCAAGCTCAGCGATGGAGAGACGGCAAAGTTAATCATGAAGTTCTTTCACCAAACATTTAACAGGAGTGTTATTGTTCCTTCTGATAGAAATGAATGACAACACAAATCATGGCCTCATCACAGCAAAGTCTGGTCTCTAGAGTTTAAATAGTGTTATTATGATGGTAAACAGAGGCTCGTGCCTCTGTCTGGCCGCTTTGTCTGTGGTCACTGTTAAAGGAGAATTCCACAGATGTTTCAAAATTCCTGTTTCATTAAGTCTTTAAGATGTAGACAGAGCGGTTCAGAGTGGTTTGGTGTGAAACGCTCTGTCCTAGAGAAACTTACCGAGTCAGAACTGTTCACAGTGGTGGTGATAGGAACCAGACGTCCACCTCTAAAAGTTCCCTCACAGAAAGTTACTACATGAAATGGTTATGAATTCACTGCCTGATGACTGAGACACTGTTTTATGATAGTTTAGAGAACTTAAACTCCATTCATCGTGGAGGGATACATGCAGGGCGCTGTGAGGCAAAATAGTCCCCAAAGAAAACTTATTATTTCAGATTTTCCACTATTTTCCATCATCAACATTCCATATAAACTCAGAAGACTCGTGTAGGTTCACTGGTGGTTCTGGATAGTAAATAAAATGTCTATATTTGTGTTGTAGTCATGGCGACCCCTGGTTCCTATCACCACCACTGTAAACACATCTGAACCATTTCACACCAAACCTCTCAATGACACATCTTTGCAGATTCAAACACAAATTTAAGCCTGGTTTTAAAAGGTGGAGAGTAATGAACAACACTAGTTTCTCAAACTTCAGTAAACTGAGCAGAATAAACCATGTGTTTATGTGCATCAAATTGGGCTCAGCACATCTGGCCCTGAGGCGTGACAGTTAGGCCGGGCCTACACTACACAATGTTTTGCCCGATTTTAAGCCCGATTCGCCCCTTGCGAAAAATTTTCACAATCTGAAGTGATTTTCCAGGTTGGGAGCTTGATCAGAAGTGACTGACAGTGCAGATGATCTGTAGTGTCAGAGGAGAAATGAGAGAATCATTAGCCCCCTGATCGAACTGAGACCCTCAGATATTATCAAACACGTTTAATATTTACGACTCTAAATGTTTGTGAGTCCTGCAGTGTGAGACAATCAGAGATGAACTCAATGACTTATTCAAACATCAGCCAATCAGAGCTGGAAGAGCGGAGAAACAGATGATGAGACGAGCGTGGACAGTGGAGCGGAAATAGAGGAGCTGAGAGTAAAACAAAGGCAGATTAGAGCCGATATCATGATTATAATGTTTATAATGTTGGTCCAGGTCAGGTCACTGTCTTTACAGTTTCAACTCAGCTGCCAGTTTGTAGTGAAATATTTTTCCAGCTCTCACTGAATCAGCGCTTCTCACCACATACTCATCCCCAGTTTGAGCTTTCACTGCGCATAAAAGCCCAAACAGGTCCAGCGAGTTCAGCTCTGATTGTGTTGTGTGATCTGAGGATATCTGGGAGTTTGAGTTCTTATTCGGAGCCCAAACTCATCATGTGTGTTATTCTCTCTCTTTGCTCTGTCGTCTAGTCTGAGCGCCTCACGACAAAAAGACATGAATCTCTGTGACAAACTGAGGTTTGTGATGCTCTGTTTTAGAAACCTGTTAAAATTGTAAAAGTCATGTAGTGAAAGCTCAGCCTTAAACCAGGCGTACACTGTGTGATTTCAGCCCGTTTTTAAGCCCGATTTGGTCGGAGCCGACTGAATTCAATGATCGGGACGAATTTCAGCTTTATCAGCTGTCGTTTGACGTGCAGTGTGAGAGGTGAAACGATGCTCGATTAGCTGCCCTGTGTATGATGACTTTGCTCTGTTTGTTGAATTGCGAGGTATAAATAAATAGTGATTTTTTTAGTCTATGTCTGTAGACCACCTGCTCTTCAGCTTCAGCGCACCGTTAGCAAAGCTGTTGTAGCAGTTTGTTAATACCTGAATCTCAAACTGCTCCTCCTTCCTATGTAGTGCAGAAGTTCTGGCTTCTACACCAAAACAGTGCCCTGTTTGTCCAGTAAGGAACTGTGCACACATGGCTGAATCTCAAAAGGCTACTTATTCGGAGCAGCTATTTTAATGTGTGGTCCACTATGTAGGGAGCAGGGAGCCATTTAAGATTCAGCCAGTGTCTTGATCAGGACATCTGAGGCGCAGCGTGTTGTTTTGAATGAAACAGCTTTATTGTAGACAGAGCGTCTGTAGTTGCTGCGTTCCACATGCAGTGTGAGCACACAGGTCGTGTCATGTCAGTCGGACCGAGTGTTTTCGTACAGTACGAGTATATAAATCGCAGGCTTTGTCCGAACAAGACGGGCAACTCAAATGTAAAGTGTGAGTCACCGAAGAACAAGGTTTCTAAAATCGCACAGTGTCTGTCTGGCTTTTTCAGAAGTGGAATTTTCAAAAAAATACCCTTGTGTTTGTCAATGAAACGTCATACATTAATAATAACAATAATAATAAGTCTCTCCTTCAATGTGTTGACCCACAAACTCTTTGGTGGTATCTCCTCTGATGTGCCTTTAGATGCTCCACCTTCTTAAAACTCTTTCCGCACTGAGAGCAGATAAAAGGTCTTTCTTCTGCATGAACCCTCATGTGGATTTTAATGATGGACAGTCTCGACGATCTCTTTCCGCACTGGGGGCAGCTGAACGGCTTCTCTCCGGTATGAATTCTCTGGTGAGCCTTAAAGTCTGTGAGATAGACAAAGCTCTTTTCGCACTGGGAGCACTGGTGAGGTTTGTCCCCGGAATGTCTGTACATGTGAAACGTGAGGCTCCTGGCGGCCGTGAAGCTCTTCCCGCACTCGGCGCAGCTGAAAGGCCTTTCTCCGGTGTGAATCCTTTCGTGGGCTTTCAGGTGCGAGAGATGGACGAAGCTCTTCTCGCACCGCGAGCACCGGTGAGGCTTGTCTCCCGTGTGGATGTACCTGTGGAGTCCGAGAGCGCCTGCGGTTTTGAAGCTCCTCCCGCACTCAGCGCAGGAGAAGGGCTTTTCTCCGGTGTGAACCCGGATGTGGGCTTTAAGGTTGTTTGCCTGTGAAAACTGTTTGCCGCACTCGGGGCAGCTGAACGGCTTCTCCCCAGTGTGAGTCTTTTCGTGCTGTTTTAAATCCGATAACTGCTTGAAGCTCCACTCACACTGAGAGCACTGATGAGGTCTCCTTCCTTCGTGCACATCCACGTGGCGTTTCAGGGATCTCGCCGAGGACAAACTCTTCCCGCACTGGGAACAGGTGAACAGTTCTCCTCCGGTATGAATTCTCGGGTGATCTTTCGGGTGGGAGGCATCACTGAGGCTGTTTCCCTGCTCTATGTTTTGGTGCGATTCTTCCCGAGATGGCTTCAGATCTGGTGGTGGCTCCTTCTTGATGACATCACATGACAGCATTCCTACAATAAAAAGTAAGTGGTTGCGTTCATTAATATACAGACGCAAAGCAGTCAGAAATAAATATAGATGAGTTAAGAGACGAACGAAATTTAAATAATAATAGAAATTTACACACACTGTGTAAGTTAGATATAGTTGCTTGAGTTACAAGTGTAAGTCAGATGCATTCTATCTGGATGCAAGAGACTAAACATGAAGTTTATGCGCACTGTGCATGGAAAAAAACAAAAAAATAAGCTTGTGCAATTGAGGGAGGGGAGCAAAAAACATGGGTGTCTTGCACAAAAATTGGTGGAGATATCAGAATTGTGGTATATTACATATTCAGCTGGGTTTACTCACATTTAAGCAGCCAACGTTTTTCTCCGCCTTTTGAAACAAGTCGCAAATTTGCGCAAGAGCCCCAAAAGTCGTGTTGTTGAGAGACTTACTTTAACAGTGTTAAACAGTGAGTGAAATTGAATAAAACACATGTGCACCTTTAATGAATATTATTTGTTACCTGTTTCTGAGAACAACGTCTGTAGACGAGGATCAGAGGAACTTTCTCTCCAGGTTAGAGTTAACTTAGCTGCTCTACAGTAACTTTGTCATTTTAGCTCGTTTTTTTACTTCTGCGAGTCACTTTGAGGCTGAAGCTCCAAATCAGGGGCACCCAATACGTCGATTGCACAGTGCATGTTGGTAGATCACGCCTCATTCAAACAGGCTATCACATTTCAACACTTTGTTACTGCCTCTGGCGGCGGGCAGGTCAACGTGATTGACTGATGTGAAATGTGGCCGACTCCAAACGGTTTCTGTTGTTTTCAGTCATCATATTTCAAATATTTAATACTTTGTTCCTGCATTGTTTGTACACTGATCCATAAATAAAAAGACATCTATAATTGGCCTATTTTTGTGTCTGAACCCCTTCACTCCCACTTACCCAGAGGAAGTTCAAAAGTGTGTGAAAAGAAAAAAAAAAAACAAACAAACTTGAGGTTTTACTCAAGAAAGACGGAGTGACACGTACACAGACAGAAATCATCACAGAGATTGTCCTTTTAATTAAACAGATCTGGCTCAAGAAAGAGACCCAGGCCTCAAGTATGGGATCACTTTCATTTAGCCAGCCAAAATAAAGTGAGACGGACGATATGTGACCAAACACTTACACTCAAATAATTATTTCCATTACCATAAATATTACAATATGACTTTCCATTACTTTGGAAGTTCATGATGCATGTACGATAAGAAGCCAACGGGTAAATAAAGTTATGTTTAATATGATTTTCTTTGTCCATAGTTAATATAAGGTGGAATGGTCAGTGGTATATTTATTTAATGTTCAGAATATAAAATTAACACATGTTGTAATAAAGATTAATTTGTGGGGATAAGCTTGGCATGTATGTATGTATGTATGTATGTCTATATTGCTGCTGTCTCCATTTTTCATCAGTTTTTGACATAATTTGCCTCTTTGTAAAAAGTCTGGTTCCCTTGACTTATATTAAAAGTCATGTATGTTTTTTTCCTTCTCCTTTAAAGTCATAATTTTGGAGATATGAGGTTTTCTTCCAACAACAGTCCCTTGTGTACCCTGCATCTCATTTATATACCTCACACTCACATATTGCACATATGGAAATGTGTACAACTGGATATATTATAGCATCTATTCCATAAGTTATGTAACTGTACAAATCTGTGTACTGGACATGGTGCAATTCTGGTGTATATCAATGTGTACATTAGAGTCTAATATGTATATTTTTATATACTTTATATATATATTTGAATATTTAAGGACTACAAGGGGGCTATGCACTTTTCACTCACCTTCACACCTGTGTAAATATGATGTGACAATAAACATGATTTAACTTTTTGAAAAATCAGTGGGATTCCCCTTTAATGTATGAGAAGTGTTTAAATGAAAGGGAAGAGGGTGTTTCACAAAGCAGGATTTCTCAGTTTGGCCAGATAACTTAAGCCCAAATTCAAGCCTGTCCTATAGGAAAACAGCTGAGGGACGTTCCTATTGGACAGTCCTCAGCTTTGGGCTTAACCCTGCTGAAAACCCATAGACACCATTGGGTGTTTCTGTTTGTTTCTAATGATTTTGGCTTTGGCTTGGGCTGATATCACAGTGTAAAGGATCCTAATAGTTTAACAGGTGACTGATGGCTGATTCTAAATGCGTCTGATGGTTTCCTAATGGGATCTAAAGGTCTTCTACAGCAAACTAGAGGTCTCTACTGGAAACCTAATGGTCCTTTTTCAGCAGGGAAAGAATGAAAACTGAGACATCCTGCAAATTCTGATAAGACATGAAGGAAGAAAGTGGTGGAAAAAGGAAGGATGGTGAATGTGCTGAAAGAGCGCTGGGTTCTTCTAGAACTATGGGACTGATCTGGAGACCCTCTGTGTGATGGTGTCTTTGATCAACATTTGAAAAACAATGAAAAAATAAAAACATGCAGCATCCACTCATATTTAAACTCATTAAGTATCAAAGAGAGCCTCATTTCTGTTTGATGTTTACTCTGTAGGATCTCCTTCTAGATCTTGTCTTTGTCATCATCATCTATCTGCTCCATCTACCTCATCATCCTCAAACAGTCCACACTGACCTTTGTCCATCTGCTGGTCTTCGGTCTTCAGTCCAGTCGCCTCCATCACACTGATATCCTCAAACTCCTCCTTAACGCTGCTCATCTTCTGGTCTGTCCTCTGTAGGTCTCTCAGTGCTGGACTCTCCAGGTGAGGATCTACTGACCGATCAGTGCCTCTGCAGCTCCTCTCCTTCTTCTGCTAATGGAGCTAGACGACCCAGATGTTTGGTGCACTGCTGCCACCTGCTGGGCTGGAGTGGGGAGCACTGAGGAGCACTGAGGCTGGAGTATGTGGACAGAGCTGAGTGAAAGCCAAGATATGATCCTATACTGATGGAGTGAGTTTAATATCAAACAGCCAATGTCATTCATATTACAGATTCACATTAATAACTGCAGTAATAAAGGTTTTTGCTGAAGTACAGTTAGTATGTTTGCATGTCTGTAAGATTTAGCCTCAACAGAGTACAAGCCCACCATCTAAATAACTGTATGTATAAAAAATTAATAAAAAAAATATATATATATATATGCACACACATACACAAATACGCACATATAATCATTTGAATATTCTTTTTTTATATAGTTAATTATGATTAATATACTCTGTTGTGTATGGGTATAAATATATTGATGTTTCAGTGCAACAGAGTGGTGTCATGGCTCAAGTATATGCTGAAAACAACACATTCTCCATCAATCAGAAGAACCAATTCACCATGCAGAGAACCATTTAAGCACGCCCATGGTTCTTCAAGTGTTTATGGTTCTATATAGAACAACTGTCTTTACTAAAGAACCCTTGAACAACCATCTTTAAGTTTTTAAAACCAACTTAAAACAATGGATGTATTTTTAAACACCTCAGTGTCGCTGCTGGACTGAGAAACAAAAACATCCCGCCGACAGCGTCCTGTGGGCAGCGTCCTGTGACCACTGATGAAGGACTACAGGATGACCAACACAAACCGTGCAGCAGCAGATGAGCTATCGTCGCTGACTTTACATCGACAAGGTGGACCGACAAGGTAGGAGTGTCTAATAGAGTGGACAGTGAGTGGACACAGTGTTTAAAAACTCCAGCAGCACTGCTGTGTCTGATCCACTCGTACCAGCACAACACACACTAACACACCACCACCACGTCAGTGTTACCGCAGTGCTGAGAATGATCCACCACCCAAATAGTACCTGCTCTGTGAGGGTCCATGGGGGTCCTGACCACTGAAGAACAGGGTAAAAGGGGGCTAACAAAGTATGCAGAGAAACAGATGGACTACAGTCTGTAACTGTAGAACTACAAAGTTAAACTATATGGTCAGTGGAGCTGATAAAGTGGATTTTAGGGCAATATGGCCCTCTATCTTGGGTAGGAAGCTCCCCTGATGAATCTTACATCAATTCATCTTTGTTTTAAAAACTACAAACAGTATATATTGTATTAATTTATCCAAATGATTCCACATCATTTTAATAAGTCATTACAAAAGACAAATTACCATAGCAACACTTGAATCTTTGTTCCTGAATTTAATAGTTATGATCATATTAATTGCGTATTATTACATACAATATTAGATACAATATTACATATAATACTTGAATTATACATAATCATAATGACATACAAACTCACTGTCAGCAAGACGGCTATAAAAGTCTCCTAATTCAAGCTAACAATCCTTATAGTTGTTCAGTAATGCTAGCTAGCCAGTGAACAACACTGCATCGTCATGATGAAGCTTTAAAGCAGCATTATGTAACAATTTTACCTTAAAATAACAGCTTCAGAGTCATTTTGATGCTACACTGATTTATAACAGTGAGAATGGCGCTATAGCGCTATGTAACCTTGGAGGAGCAGCAAAAGAACCTCTTGCCAGAACTACGTAGTGTTTTACGGCACCACGTCACTCACCATCAACTCAGCAGCTACAAGAAGAAGCAGCTCGGTATTCCCAGCCTGGATATCATGGCCAAGGCTGTGAAGAGACTGAAGAAGACACTGTCAGAGGAAGTGGAATAGAGAGAGTGACCAAGCAAGAGACCGGACAGTAAATCTCAGACCGGTTTTTACTCATAACAGACAAAAGGAGGTAGGACAGTCTGACTGCTAACGGGAAAACAGCAAAACTCCAACAGCAGAGTGTTCATCCCTACCAGTGTTGATGAAAGACCGGAACATTATCTGTCTTTTGAGTTTTGTAGATTTTCCAGAGACAAAAGTCGTCTAACCTCAGCCCTGTTTCAGGCTGGCATGCAAAGAAATGAATTAATCTTGTGCCAAAAAGTCAGTCTGTTAAGATTATAAAGACTGGGCGGGTCACACTATCAGACCGGTTTCTGGATTTTTTTAGGGTGACTGAAATATTGGGGATCCACACTAAACATTTAGGGACTACTCAACTTTTAAGCTGCTGCTGCGAACTTGCGTGAACTCTCGTTACTGGGAGACGCAGATAAACAAATGTGTAGCGGCTGCTGCTGTTTTCTCTGCCGTCTGCGCTGAAACAGTAAAGAAGCAGCAGGTAAACATTTTTAAATCATGGATTTAAAAATGTGATCAGTTTGGTATTTTTAGAGTTGTAAATGTACATAAACTCGATTCATTCAGGTCATTAAAAAGCTTCGCTCCACACCTGAGAGACTTTTCACCATTTTTCTTTGATTACTTGCTGTATTTTTTTCTTTCGCTCTCTCAGTTTTCATTGGCTGTTGCAGGAATCCGTTCAGACTGAGGCATTGATCAGTTTACACTGATTACACTCAAGAGCCGGGTCAAAAAATCAAACATGTCTGATAAACTCTGACTGGTCTGAAACACGATTGGGAGGCAGTAAATCTGAGTCAGTGTCCCTCAAACGTGACTCGACTCTCTCTCCAACTGACTCAAAAATCTGCAGACTACAGCCGACCAGCTCAGACTGAGACTCAGGACTAGAATCGGGGTAAAAGTTGTGTAGTGTAAACCCGGCTTTAATCTCACATCAGATACACATTAAAAGTTTGCAATAACATCCTGTAAAGTTGCTCTACCTTGTAAGTCAACATAATTCTTTCTCCTTCTGATGTTGTCTTTGCCGGTGTTGTGCCGGATTTCGACTCCCCTTCACATACACGTGAATCGGGCATTTGGACGCTACACATAAAAACAATCGAAATCACAAGTGTAATCTGTAGCTTCCATATTCCTGCATGACAACGTAGCCACAAAGGTGAGTTGGACTCTGTATCCTTCAGCTCGACAACAAATGCACCTGTAAAGCTGCCCGGGGGGGGCGCTCACAGTGCTATGTTTTTAGTGGTGTGAAAGTGAAATGCGCTCCACAATTGTGGGGGGGAGCCCAAGAGCAATAATACTAATTCTTGCATAATGCTGCTTTAGGAACATTCCTCCAGTTTTACAGTTTTCCTTGAAAATAAATATATAAATAAATAAAACAAACAAATGCGCTGCTCTCCGGATAACTGCCCCATATTTATATATATTTATAAGATGGATAGTTCTGGCCCTAAAATCTGATTGGCTGAGCAAATCTGTGGTAAACTCCAAGATATATGCACACCTATGACCACTGAACTCTGTATCACTGCGCCACGGCATGAAAAACCGTTCTGCTGTTAATGAATAATCTTTGACTCTAATGTTGATCGCATGGAGCACTGAGTGTATTGATGAAGTAAGAACCCGGTTCTGTTTAAACTGAAGGGCTGGAAACTTATGTTCTTAAGTAAAACCAGGCTGGTCAGCTAGCCAACAGTGCACCATTTGTCAAGTGTGGATGTGTCTGAGTCTGAGTCCCAAATGACTCCGTACTCCAAGTGACTGTTTCCTAGCTGCATTTTGCTCTGTTGGGCTGCAGGATCCAGTATTTAAATTCCTACGTAGTGCACTATGTAGGGAGCAGGGAGGCGTTTGAGATTCAGCCCCAGTGTGAGAAGAGGGCACCGCTGGATTGGTGCTAAATAAGACTCGCGGTGGTAATTTGGTGACCAAAAAGTATTTATAAAGTGAAGGTTTGTGATTGATCAGTGCTGAGTTATCATATCGCTCCTGTCGGAACCGACCATTCTCCTCATTCAGGGGGCCATGGTTGCTTGGCAACAATACCATACTCTAAAGGAACTACATTTCTTGGCAGAATACTTGTTTATGTTGATTATTAACAATAAGTTGTGTATTTTAGCATATTTTATGTTGGCTGCCATTTTATAAAAGCAATAAGCCACTTGAGGCGGTGCGCTGCAGTGATTTTACCACGCGGGAGTTATACTTCGCTTCGCGTCATTTCTAATAACACCTTTCCCTGTGATAAAATTGCAGTAACGCATGACCTCTTGTGGCTTATTGCTTTATTAACAACTTTTCATAAACATACACATCTCTATTATCCAAGGACAAATTACACCAACTAACCCCAAACAGGAATAAATCCCAGATAGGCCATCACCCCGATGAAATTTCGGAAATAAATTACACCACAGCCGTTCAGTAAGTGTGTCAAGATCAGATTTGGCAACATCGTCTGGTCAGGAGAGAAGGGTAAATAAGGTGGAGGCACATCTTATCCCCGGGGGCTTCATCCTCCAATCATATTTAGCCAATAGTATCAATGGTTTTCTCAACTCTGACTTGCTTTCAGATGATCAGCCCACATTAAGAGCAGATCAAATGTCTCATGTGTGAACCCTCATGTGGATCTTAAGGTTGTACAACGTTGTCGATTTCTTTCCACACTGCGTGCAGCTGAAAGGCTTTTCTCCAGTGTGCGTCCACAGGTGGGCTTTAAGCTTCGAGAGATTGATGAAGCTCTTCTCACACTGGGAGCACTGGTGAGGCTTATTTCCTGTATGCACGTACGTGTGATACGTAAGACCACTTGCGCTGGCAAACCCCTTCCCACACTGCGAGCAGATAAAGGGCTTTTCCCCAGTGTGGGTCCTTTGGTGGTCTTTCAGGTCTGACAGGTTGACGAAGCTCTTCTCGCACTGAGGGCACTGGTGGGGTTTGTTTCCTGTGTGTTTGTACATGTGCATCTTTAAAACTCTCGCCGTGGAGAAGCTCTTCCCGCACTGAGCGCAGGGATGTGGTTTTTCGGTGGTATGAACCACCATGTGAGTCTTCAGATGTTTGGACGCCGAGAAACCCTTTCCGCACTCGGAGCAGACGAACGGCTTTTCTCCGGTATGAATCATCATGTGGGTTTTAAGGCGACCTGCTTGTGAAAACCCTTTTCCGCACTCGGAGCAGGTGAACGGCTTCTTTTCAGAGTGAGTCATCATGTGGATCTTGTAGTCGAACACTCGCAAGAAGCTCTTCCCGCACTGGGAGCAGCTGAAGGGCCTTTCTCCGGTATGAATCACCATGTGGGCTTTGATGTTGTTGGCCTGCGCAAACTGTTTCCCGCACACGGTGCAGGTGAAGGGTTTCTCTCCGGTGTGCATCATCATGTGGGTTCGGAGGCGATTCAGCTTGAAGAAGCTCTTCCCACACTCGGAGCAGGTGAACGGTTTCTCTCCGGTATGAATCTTTTCGTGCTGTTTTAAATCCGGCAGACGTGCGAAACACCATTCGCACTTGGAGCACTGATGAGGTCTCTTTCCTTCATGCATGTCTATGTGGCGTTTCAGAGCTTTCTCGGCGGCGAATCGGCGCCCGCACAGCAAACAGGCGAACGGTCCGTCTCCGGTATGGATTCTCAGGTGATCTTTTAGGAGGAAAGCATCACTGAGGCTGCTTCCATGCTGAGCGTCATGGTGAAGTGGCTGCGCACCGGGTTCTTCCTGAATCGTCGTCACGTCCGGCTTGTTCTCCTCTTTAAAGTCTTCAAACGATGTTGTATCTACAACACAATAAAGAAAAATAGACAATGGTATTCATAAACCTACAGATGCCCAGCAGTCAAGTAATCAATAAAGAAGCGCAAGTGATAAACAAATAAAAAAAAAATGAGGCAGATTAAAAAACAACGTTTAGCTATTTTAAGAATAACTCATCTGCAAATCATCGACTGAAAGACTTTCAAATACTAAACATGATTCTTTTTAGGATTATAACCATATCTCCAATTGTCTATGGTCACCTAATGGTCAACAAACTGATTGTTATACATAAATACACACACATATATATATATATACACTTAGAACAATGTATTACTGTGCAAAAAATGCAAAGTCACAAAACATTAGCTTTTAAAAAATGCTTAGTCTGTAAATGAGCAAGAATGAAACAATTGTGGCAAATTAAATTGGGATATTTTTCTCTTTGATTTCTTTAAATGTTGAAATTTTATGTGTAACTCAGTATCGATGCATTTAACACTGACGATTTCAAACAGCTGAAAAACAGTACTGAGCTACAGTGCTGTGAAAAAGTGTTTGCCCCCTTCAATTTCTTCTATTTTTGATAAATTTGTCACATTTCAGATCATTCGACTAAATGAAATAGAACAGTTTCTTATAAAATGTCTCTCAACATTTGACTTTTTAGTGTTTCAGTTTCTCGTTGCAGATTAAACAAATCAGGAAACCAGCTGGAGTGATTATAAATGCAAATAAGTCCATTCGTCTCCAAATTATCAATGTATGTCTTAAATCTTTCCTTTTCGTTTTGTTAGCCACTAGCTAGGCGAGACTGTTGTCTGCGTTGCTATTGTGACCAGCAGTCTGTGCTGATCTTCAGGGTTAAAGGGTGAATCAGCAGTTCTACATTAACTCCAGAGTTTAAGACCATTTATTGTTAAACTGTGTTGAACGATCAGCAGAGCTTTATTTTACTGTAAAGGAGGATTATTTTATTTTTACCTACAAATCTGATTCAGCTGTGGAGCCAGCAGGGGGCAGTAAAAGAGGTGCCTGTGGCTCCGGAGCCACATTGCCGACCCCTTGTCAAGGCAAAACATGCTAATGTTTTAATATCCAGTAAAGTTTTACTGAAATATTCATTTAAAACCACAACACACAAAATAAAGAACATCCACTCAAACATCCTACAGGATCCAAATGCTTCACATGTCCATGTTAACGTACACAGTATTGAGCCCAGCGCACTCTGTGGTACAGTGTCTACTGTAAACACCTCCTAAAGGGTCTTCTGTACGAGATCATCTGTACGAGTCATTAATCTCACACTGATACAGTCCACACTGACCTTCGTCCATCTGCTGGTCTTCAGTCTTCAGTCCAGTCGCCTCCATCACACTGATATCCTCACACTCCTCTTTAAGGCTGCTCATCTTCCTCTCTCTGCCCTGAAAAACACAGTGAGAACGTCAGTGAGCGACACACAAAACATATCAACATCATACACACATTTTCATAAGGTTAGTCAAGGAATGAAGGAATGAAAGAATGAAGAAATGAAGGAGTTAATGAATGGATGTGAGATTGAGGAAAATAAATGAAGGAACGAATCAATGGAGGAAGGAAGGAGTTATGAAAAAAATGACAATAAACTGAAGGAATGGATGAATGAATGAAGGAATGGAGTAAGGAAGGAAAGAATGAATGAATGAGTGAAGGAATGACAGAAAAAAGGAATGATATAGAGGCTTGATGACAATGAATGAAGGAATGAATCAATGAACAAAGGATGGCACGACAGAAGTTATGAATGAATTATTGACAGAATAAACTGAATGAATGAATGAACGAACAAAGGAAGGCATGATAGAAGTTATGAATGAATTAATGACAATAAACTGAATGAATGAATGAATGAATGAATGAATATAGAGAGGAGTGAAAAATGTTATGAATGGATTAACGATGGTAAAATCTGAATTGACGAATGAATGAAAGAGTGAAAGAAGTTATGAATTGATTAATAATGTATTAAACTATATGAATGAATGAAAGAATCAGTGAATGAATGCAGGAAGGAGTGAAAGAAGTTATGAATAAATTAATGACAAACCAAATGAACGAATGAATGAGTGAATGAATGAATGGAGTAAATAAATGTAGGAAGGAGTGAAAGAAGTTATGAATCAGCTAATGATGGATTGTATGAATGAAGTAAGAAAGGAATGAACAAATGAAGGAAGCGAGAAAAAAGTGAAAAGAAGAAATGAATAAAAAAAAAATTAAATGTAAGAAAAAGAAAGAAGGAAAAAATCTGTAAAAAAAAGGGAAGAAAAAGAAGGAAATAAATGAACAAATCAAAAAGAAAGAAAGAAAGAAAGAAAGAAAGAAGTGAATAAAGAGGAAGAATGAAGGGAGGAAAAACAGAGACAGAAAGAAAAGAAGAATGAAGGAATGCATGAATGAATGAAGTCTGCAGTGCCTACGTTACAGGAGATCAGTTCCACACAGGCGAAGCAGGTAAAGCAGGTGAAGCTGGGCTTTGGAGAGCAGATGGAGCTCAGAGAGACTCAGTGAGATGTTCCTCTCTCTTCCACACAGGTGAAGCTGGGCTTTGGAGAGCAGATGGAGCTCAGAAGGACTCGGTGAGATGCTCCTCTCTCTTCCACACAGGTGAAGCAGGTGAAGCTGGGCTTTGGAGAGCAGATGGAGCTCAGAAGGACTCAGTGAGATGTTCCTCTCTCTTCCACACAGGTGAAGCAGGTGAAGCTGGGCTTTGGAGAGCAGATGGAGCTAGAAGGACTCAGTGAGACGCTCCTCTCTCTTCCACACAGGTGAAGCTGGGCTTTGGAGAGCAGATGGAGCTAGAAGGACTCAGTGAGACGCTCCTCTCTCTTCCACACAGGTGAAGCAGGTGAAGCTGGGCTTTGGAGAGCAGATGGAGCTCAGAGAGACTCAGTGAGATGTTCCTCTCCTCCACACAGGTGAAGCTGGGCTTTGGAGAGCAGATGGAGCGCAGAGGGACTCGGTGAGATGTTCCTCTCTCTTCCACACAGGTGAAGCAGGTGAAGCTGGGCTTTGGAGAGCAGATGGAGCTAGAAGGACTCAGTGAGACGCTCCTCTCTCTTCCACACAGGTGAAGCAGGTGAAGCTGGGCTTTGGAGAGCAGATGGAGCTCAGAGAGACTCAGTGAGATGTTCCTCTCCTCCACACAGGTGAAGCTGGGCTTTGGAGAGCAGATGGAGCGCAGAGGGACTCGGTGAGATGTTCCTCTCTCTTCCACACAGGTGAAGCTGGGCTTTGGAGAGCAGATGGAGCTCAGAGAGACTCCAACACCAACACTGCTTTAACCATTAGCCACTCAGCTAACGCCACAGTAGCCACAGTACTGCACTTCAGCGAAGGCTAACAGCGTTTTTCTCACTTCCACCGGCCTCTGAACTCCACCCCATGTCTGCTGCAGTCTGTCCCGGTTTAACTCACCCTCCCCTCCATACTCCGGGCTCCCACAGCGACTCCGAGTCTGAGATCTGACCCGAAATCTCAGCTTCAAAAGCGAAAACACCAGCCTGCCGCTGCTGCCCCTGCCGGAGGGCTGTTTACGCTGGTTACGTTGCCTGCGTGCCTACGTCACCGCGCTACGCGTGGAACGCTCCTCATTAGGCGGAGTGGTTATTCTACGGGCCGGATTCACGAAAGCTTTCTTAAGAAGAAAAGTACGAAGGTTCTTATGACGTTTTCAATGTGGATTAACCGCTGTTTTCATTTAGTTTAACCTCAGAGAAGCGTTTAAAATCCACCCCACATCTCAGTGTGGTTAAAGGGGGAGGCCACCGAGTTTTTAAAATTCCCCCATAACTCAGTGTGTGAGGTGTAAACAGGGTGGTTCAGAGTTGTTTGGTGTGAAATGGTTCAGATGTCTTTACAGTGGTGGTGATAGGAACCAGGTGTCGCCATGACTACAACACAGATATAGACATTTTATTTACTATCCAGAACCACCAGAGAACCCTTCTTGTATCCGTCCACCATGAATGGGTTAAAATAAATAGATTAAAATGCGTTTTAGACCAAAAACTACTACTTTATTTTAACTTAGAGTATTAAATGTTTCTAAATTTGCCAGAAGAGTGAAATATACAGCACTATGTGAAAGTATCAGCCTAAGATACAGTATTATATATATATATATATATATATATATATATATATATATATATATATATATATATATAAATGTATATATATGCACCACACATCATTAAAATAAATATAAGTAAACATTAATGCAGCAAGAATTAACAAAAATGTATTACTTTGAAAAAAGTGGTTGATATCTTGTTTTCTAGATTTAGATTTAGAATTTAGTCTCCATCAGCATTAATTTAATTAAGTACTGATAAGAAACTGGACGATAACTACATATTAGTTAACCCATCCGTGCAGTGAAACACCTCATACACACTAGGGGGCAGTGAGCACACTTGCCTGGAGTGGTGGGCAGCCCTATCCACAGCGCCCAGGGAGCAGTTGGGGGTTGGGTGCCTTACTCAAGGGCACCTCAGTCACATACTGTCGGCTCAGGGGATCAAGCCGGCGACCTTTCGGTCACAGGGCTGGTTCCCTAACCTCCAGCCCACAGCTGCCTCATTTATTTATTATATATATATATATAGAGAGAGAGAGAGAGAGAGAGAGATAGATAGATATATAGTTAAATTAATGATGTTAATCATTAATGATGACAGATACATTTGAAAGCACAGAACAAGTAAAACAAAGGAATAACAGATATACACAACTTAAAAAGATGATTCTTCAATGATTCTTTTGTAACTGGACCATCTGCATGCTTAAAGGGCTTTTTCCATGGTGAAACTGTTCTTCAGATTGATGGAGAATGTGGTGTATATGGTTCTATATAGCACCAAAATGGGTTCTTCTATCATTACGATGTCAAGCTTGTCAAAATAAAAGAACCAGTTGTGGTGCTATTTAGAACCCTTTTCAAAAAAGCTTCTATATAGATTCATATATAACATATTCTCCATTAGTCTGAAGAACGGTTTCACCATGCAAAGGGTTCTTTCCGTGTTCATGTTTCTGTAAAGAACAATTTTCTTCACTAAAGAGCCATCTTTTTTAAGTATGCATTGATCAGAACTAAAATAACCTTTTATAACCTTAACCTTAGATTTTATATATATATATATATAAAATTATATAATTTCAGAAACTCACTTTAATAACACCACTGGGTGTTTACAAGTTTTATTTTAACCAAACTCCAGCTTCTTGTTCAAATGTTCCCATTCCACCTTAAATGCTGCAGCAGTTCTGACATCTGAGGTGCCAGAATGTAACTGTTGGACTGTTTAAGGTGGCTAATGTCTTGGTATTTAAAGTTAATTTCCTGTTCCACCTTAAATAGTCCAGCAGTTACGTTCTGGCACCGAGACATCAAAAAAAGAAAGAAGAAGAATCAGTGGTCGCTCCCGGTGCTGGCTGAACATTTCGTGTTGTGAGAAGTTTGAGAACCCAAACGTTGACAAATGGAGGATCAGACTTATTATTTAGCACAAGAAAACAGTGAGAGAGGGAGAATCCTCACCATCAAAGAAGAGAAAACAGGAAGAAGTGAAATGAAGACAAAACAGGCAACAGCAGAAAAAATGATGGCCTCTGTAGGTTCTACTACACACTTGGAAAGGGAGGTGCGAGGGAGGGAGGGGTGAGGACTCAGCTGGATGCAGTCTGCAACCTCACCACTAGATGTCGCTATATCTTACACACTGCAGCTTTAAGTGGCTGTGTTGGAAACAGTGATGTGCAGTTAATTTTTCAGAAGATGATTCTGAGTAGATCAGATAAGGAAGCAGAAAGCATCAGGAAAGAATTAAAAAAATTACACAATAAAATCTGAGCACACCTCGTTAAACAGAGGTCCAACTCTTATTCTTTATCTCTCCAAAAGACAATATGCAGTACAAACTGGACATTTCTTTTACACAGCATTAACACGAGTCAACAAATAGCACGATTACTTCATAATCTGAGAGGTTTAAAATAATTAACTAATTTGTACACTGATTTTTTATTACATATAGAATCTTCCAACTAAATTTTTCTGTGAACCATAACAGTGGATGATTTGGAGGATAGTTTCATAAATTATATTTGCTCTTGATTTGATGGTTGTTGATGTTTTAAAGCACTGATTCAGCTCTTCAGCTAATAAGGCCTTCATGAACTGAACTCAGAGTGTTAGATGAGGGTAAACACTGATCTCCACAGCACTTTGATCCAGAAGGTCCCCAGTTTGACACGCCTGATTCACAGTATGTAGAAGAAATCTGGTAACGCTTTATTTGGATGGTCCACTGTAGCTGCTCCATCTATTCTTAACTAACTTTCAACCAAACAGCTATTAAATGCAACTGACTTTGAATTTGCATGTGAAAGATTCTATTAAGTCTGTCCCTAAACCTAAACCTGACCTCAAGGCAAAACCTACACTGACGCCTAGACCTAACCCTAACCTTAATATTCTCCAGGGTATATTTCAGGTTGGCGGTCTGAATTTACATGACCAAATCGTGAGGCAAATTATTCAGTAACTGCATGAAATAAATGTAAATTTTTTTTTATTTATTTTAGACAGTTACAGCTCTCATATGACCCCCACCTTTCAAATGTAGTTTATGAAATATGAAAGTTATGAAGAATATGACGAAGTGTGTGTTGGAACCACGGGTGGTTGAAGAGGTTAATGTTGTTGATAATCAACTAAGGATCACCAGAAAGTTTGTTAATCATATCAGTATTTGTAGATCATCTATAGGGGACCATCCAAATAAAAATTGATCGGAATCTGAATTTAAAAATTCATACTGGATTTTAGTCAAATTCCTTGCGCCTTCAGAACATATTCAGAGTGTGTTCTTCTCACCATCAATACTACATTACATACGTATTAATATCAATAATAATCATCATGAAAACAACAATAACAAGCTTGTGATTGATCAACTTTTGTTGCTACTCATTTGCATCATGAGTCTTAATAATCAGTTTTTTCTTCTTTGGTGAGACTTCAGATGTGTCTTCTGGTGTAGCTGCAGCTTCGAGACACATATGAAGCTCTTCTCGCACTGGGAGCACTGGTGAGGTTTGTTTCCAGTATGTTCGTACATGTGATTTATAAGACCGTTAGTGGTAGCAAACCTCTTGCCGCACTGCGAGCAGCTAAAAGGCTTTTCTCCGGTATGAATTCTCTGGTGGTCTTTTAACTCTGAGAGTCGTATGAAGCTCTTCCCGCACTGGGAGCACTGGTGAGGCTTGTTTCCAGTGTGCACGTACCTGTGCCTCGTTAGGGCGCTCGCGGTGGTGAACCTCGCCCCGCACTGAGCGCAGGCAAACGGCTTTTCTCCGGTATGAGTTATCAGGTGAGACTTCAGCTGTTTCAACGTTGAAAAACATCTTCCGCACTCGGAGCAGATGAACGGCTTCTCCCCGGTATGAGTCATCATGTGGGTTTTGAGGTGGCTTGAGTTCAAACAGCCTTTTCCGCACACGGAGCAGGGAAACGGTGTTATCCCGGTATGAATCATTATGTGGATTTTATACTCGAACTGTCTGGAGAACCTCTTCCCACACTGAGAGCAGCTGAAAGGCTTCTCTCCAGTGTGAATCAGCATGTGGGACTTCAGTCGCCTTGATTCCGAAAACCCCTTTCCGCACTCGGAGCAGGAAAACGGCTTCTCTCCGGTATGAATCATCATGTGGGTTTTAAAGTCAAACGATCTCGAAAACCTCTTCCCGCACTGAGAGCAGCTGAAAGGCTTTTCTCCGGTATGAATCATCATGTGAGCTTTAAGGTGGCTCGATGTTCTGAAACTTGTCCCGCACTCGGAGCAGGTGAACGGCTTCTCTCCGGTGTGAATCATGGTGTGGGTTTTAAGGCGTTTTGTGGTTGTGAAGTCTTTTCCGCACTCGGAGCAGCTGAACGGCTTTTTTCCGGTATGAATCTTTTCATGCCGTCTCAAATCCGTGAAGCGTTTGAAGCTCCACTCACACTGAGAGCACTGATGAGGTCTCGTTCCTTCATGCGTCTCCATGTGGCGTCTCAGAGCTCTCTCAGAGCTGAAGCTCTTCTCACACTGCAAAGCGTCTTCTCCAGTATGAATTCTCAGGGGGTCTTTAGGGTGGGAGGCGGTGCTGTTTCCAGGCTCACTGCTTTGGGGAGGTTTCTGTGCATCATATTCTTCCTGAAACAGCTTCACGTCTGGCTTGTGCTCCTCTATGATGTCTTCATATGATGCATAAATGGTGCATGTTTTGGGGAAAAAAAATAACAATGTCAGAAAAACAACTAATTTCACAATATATATGTATATTATTTAATATATATATTTTTTGTTTCGTTTTTTTTTGCTTCATAATGACCGCCTCCTTGTTTCTACACTCACTGTCCATTTTATCAGCTCCACTTACTATATAGGTGCACTTTGTAGTTCTACAGTTACAGACTGTAGTCCATCTGTTTCTCTGCATACTTTGTTAGCCCCCTTTTACCCTGTTCTTCAGTGGTCAGGACCCCCATGGACCCTCACAGAGCAGGTACTATTTGGGCGGTGGATCATTCTCAGCACTTCAGTAACACTGACGTGGTGGTGGTGTGTTAGTGTGTGTGGTGCTGGTACGAGTGGATCAGACACAGCAGTGCTGCTGGAGTTTTTAAACACTGTGTCACTCACTGTCCACTCTATTAGACACTCCTACCTTGTCAGTCCACCTTGTAGATGTAAAGTCAGAGACGATAGCTCATCTGCTGCTGCACAGTTTGTGATGGTCATCCTCTAGTCCTTCATCAGTGGTCACAGGACGCTGCCCAGAGGACGCTGTTGGCTGGATATTTTTGGTTGGTGGACTATTCTCAGACTATTCTCATTCTGCTGTGTCTGATCCACTCGTACCAGCACAACACACACTAACACACCACCACCACGTCAGTGTTACTGAAGTGCTGAGAATGATCCACCGCCCAAATAGTACCTGCTCTGTGAGGGTCCATGGGGGTCCTGTTTTGTGTCCAAGTCCATTATTTTCCCAAAAACTAATTCAATAAATGTAAGACGTACCTCAGATTATTCAACAGTACCTCTGTTGTGAAACCATTTTTGGGGCATTCATGTAAAATTTCTTTTAGTTTTGCTTCCAAAAGTCTCCAAATGTCCAACCACACATTAGAGAATATTTATTAATGATATAATTGATGCCGACTTTGACTTTGAGGATTCAACCGTGAAAACATTTCCTTAAGCTACACTCTTAAAGATGATGGTTCTTCAGTACTAAAGAACAGATCAAAACTGTTCAGAAGGACCAAAAAAACAATCTGTTATTAGCACCTAGCTGATCTTCTGCTCTGTGATATAAACATCTCCTGAAAACATCTACTGAGAGGTCATCTATATAACCATCCCAACAGAGTCCACACTGACCTTCGTCCATCTGCTGGTCTTCAGTCTTCAGTCCAGTCACCTCCATCACACTGATATCCTCACACTCCTCTTTAACGCTGGACATTTTGCTCTCCTTGCCTTGAAACACACAGTCCAACACTGTCCTATCAGTATAGTATAGTATGTATAATATAGCAGTAAAGGTGTCAATCACAGCCCTTATGTTGGTCAATATTAGACCACTGGTGTGCATGTGAACATAGTACAGTTCAGTATGAAACATAGTGTTGAGTCTGACTCTGACCGACTCATGGGTGACATTAAACTGAATTCAGAGTGGTTTGGTGTGAAATGGTTCAGATGTCTTTACAGTGGTGGTGATAGGAACCAGGGGTCGCCATGACTACAACACAAATATAGACATTTTATTTACTATCCAGAACCACCAGTGAACCTACACGAGTCTTCTGAGTTTATATGGAATGTTGATGATGGAAAATAGTGGAAAATCTGGAATAATAAGTTTTCTTTGGGGACTATTTTGCCTCACAGCGCCCTGCATGTATCCCTCCACCATGAATGGAGTTTAAGTTCTCTAAACTATCATAAAACAGTGTCTCAGTCATCAGGCAGTGAATTCATAACCATTTCATGTAGGAACTTTCTGTGAGGGAGCTTTTAGAGGTGGACGTCTGGTTCCTGTCCTGGTTCTGACTCGGTAAGTTGCTCTAGAACCACATCAGACCAGTCTGAACGACTCTGTTTACATCTTAACCACTTAATTATGCAGAAATTCTGAGAAATACATGGAGATCCACTTTAAAACCTATTGTTTTTTCGCTTTGTAATGGGGTTACCACAAGAGACCACCAGTTACCTTTATATCCCATTAGGAAACCATCTGGACTCAGTCCCAGAACCCCTGTTAAACCATTACAGTCCTTTACACTGTGATATCAGCCCATCAGGACAAACACTAAACACCATTAGAAACTACTGGACACCACCAGGAACTTCTACTGGTCTCTGTGATGTTCTTCTAACCACCAAAGTTAAACCAAAACACCCCACGTGTTGGTCAGTCAGCTAAACTGGTCCTCCAGTGTAACCAGTTTGAGCTGGAGTCAGCTTTCTATAGGAATTCTCCCGTTCCACCTTAAATAGTGCAGCAGTTACACTGTGGCGCCAGCTGCACCGTTTAAGGTGGAACGGATAATTCGAACAGTAAGCCAGCTTTATCCTCGTCTCCTCGCTGCATTACTATATTAATATGATATATGATTTTAGCCCCTTTATGAAGACTTACCGGGTCAGTGCTGAGCTGCAGCCCCCACACCGAACACCTCACCAGCTCCCACTGTTTGGGACTGAAAGCCCCGCCCCCTCAGCTGAAACCGAAATTCCGATTGGTCCGCTCATGAAGGCCCGCCCCCCTAGTTCCGGCAGCCACGAACTGAACTGAATCGACTCTGAACTGAACCGACTCTGAAAACAGTCTGAACCGAACTGAAGGCCCATGTTTTACACTCAGACCCAGTCCCTTTCTGATTTTTACCCCTACCCCTTGTTTTTGAGTGTTGCCCCTTGGAACTGAGTTACAGGGCAGTGGTTGAAATCTTCCCTCTGAAATGGGACCCTCAAATAAAAAGAGCATCACTTCATTAACAGCTACCAGTGCTGCTCTGTAGGCGACCCTGCCAGTCTGCAGTGACAGCAGAGGAGGGTAAAGTTCAGCTCCTCACTGCTGGGCTTTAGTTACATTTAGGGCATCATATGCCTTCAAAGAGGGGGGCAATTATTTATTATCACCCACCCCTAATTCTTCAGTGATATGAAGCTGAAGTCAGATATTCATCAGCTTCTTGTTCAAACTTTCCTGTTCCACCTTAAATGAAGCAGCAGTCACATTCTGGAGTTTCAGGCATCAGAACTGCCGGACTATTTAAGGTGGAACGGGAAAGTTAGCTAGCTAGCCTCCATTAGCATGCTACTAGCAATGTTTTATGCTTGTTATGAAGAAAACGACCAAAATACACTGAAACGACATTAAACTAAGATAATACAGTGATTTTTGTAATTTTTTAACAGAGAAAATTCTCACGTTTGTGTGTTTCTTTGGTCTCTTGTTCTCCATCTTGCCGGTTTCTTTTTTTCTCATAACTCTCTGTTTGGAGTCTGTTTGGAGGGCAATGTAGCCCTCACACTTCGCCCTACCACTCTATTCCAGAACGGACAAACAAAACACTGGCTTTAGAGCTGGGTTTCTCAACCACTGGGCTGTGGCCCACAGGTGGGCCTTGAAACACCCTTTGGTGGTCTCAGGGGAATACTGATGGGGTGCCAGTGGTCTGTAATGGGCCTGTGGTCACAGTCTCTCATGAAAAACAGTGAAAAAGGAATATAAAATGTTTTCAAGCTGTCAGCAACATTAATACGAGGCCTTCAAAACACGCACAAAAATGTCACACAGTTTCGCTAAAAATTCCTGATGTTTCAGTGCCTCCTCACAGCTCTACACACAGAAACTGCTGTAGAAACATTCCACGTGATTTTCTAACATTCCTTTGGCATTTCATGTTCACTGACAGACGTCACATTCAGCAGGATGGACACACTGTGTTCAGACATTTTAGCTGAGTTTTGTTTTTCTCTGAGCCTTCATGCTTACTAGTGATAAATAACTGGGTCTTGAGGTGGAAAAGATTGAGAACCCCAGCTCTAGATAGCACCTTTAGTGTTTTTATGCTGAAGCGGCAGCTTGAATTTGGCGTTGCTGTAGCTCCAGTTGGGAAGATGTAGAAAGAAGAAGAATCAGTGGTCGCTGCTGGAGCTGGCTGAGCATTTTGTGCTGCGAGAAGTTTGAGAAATTGACAAATTTTGGCAAATGAAGGATCAGACTTATTATCTAGCACAAGAAAAAGTGAGGGAGGGTGAATCCTCACCGCCAAAGAAGAGAAAACAGGGAGAAGGAAAAATGAAATTGGGACAGGCAACGGCAGAAAACCTGACGATCACCGTAGGTTCTACTACACGCTTGGAAAGGGAGGGGTGAGGGAATCGATTCAGCTGGCTGCAATATGCAACCTCACTACTAGGTGACTGTGGTAAGAAGCAGGAAATGATCAACCAGCTTCTAAGACTGAACTTTGGAGGTGTGTCTGCAGATTTTTGAGGAGCTGAAACTGAGTCTCCTGGAAAGAATGGAAGCTGGAATAAAGGGAAAGAGGGTCTCACTGACTCAAACAGCTGACTTAGTGTTTTCTGCTTTTTTCCTTGAGGCTGAAAAATGATTAAAAACATTTTGACTGGAAATGAAATAAGTGAATGAGTAGCTTCTACCCTGCACATACAATGTAATCACAGTCAGACGTTAAATACAGGCAATATGGGGAATCAAATCCGGTCTAGAAAGACTCTTCATATGTAATTCACAAAAGATTTTAATAAAATGAAAAGGTCAGCATTGTTTATATGTTCAGAATATATTCAGAGTGTGTTTTTTTTGTTTCCAGTACTTGTAACGGAATCATACTGTAAAAAGAAACAACAATAACAATAATAATAACTATAATAATAATCCTATGACTGGTTTATCAGCTTTTCTTCCTACTCATTTGTATTTTGGAGTCTGAATAATCCACTCTTTGTCTCTCTTCTCTGGTGTGTTCTCTGGTGTGACTTCAGCTGGTCCAGCAGCTTAAATCCTTTTCCACACCAGTAGCAGACAAAAGGTCTTTCCTCCGAGTGAACCCTCATGTGCACCTTCAGGTTCGACAACGTTCCCGATTTCTTTCCACACTGGAAGCAGCTGAAAGGCTTTTCCTGAGTATGCGACATCTGGTGTAGCTGCAGCTTCGAGACACAGGTGAAGCTCTTCTCGCACTGGGAGCACTGGTGGGGTTTGTTTCCTGTATGTACGTACGTGTGATATGCGAGACCACTGGTGGTCGCGAAACTCTTGCCGCACTGCGAGCAGCTAAAAGGCTTTTCTCCAGTATGAATTCTCTGGTGGTCTTTTAACTCGGAGAGCCGAACGAAGCTCTTCCCGCACTGGGAGCACTGGTGAGGCTTGTTTCCAGTGTGTACGTACCTGTGCCTCTTCAAACCGCTGGCGCTCCTGAAACTCGCCCTGCACTGAGCGCAGGCGAACGGCTTATCTCCGGTATGAGTTATCATGTGGGACTTAAGTTGTCCTGATGTTGAAAAACACTTTTCGCACTCGGAGCAGACGAACGGCTTCTCCCCGGTATGAGTCATCACGTGGATTTTGAGCTGACTTGAGTTTACGAAACTTTTTCCGCACACGGAGCAGGGAAAAGGTCTTTTCCCGGTATGAATCATCATGTGGATTTTATAGTCGAACGGTCTGGAAAACCTCTTCCCGCAGTGAGAGCAGCTGAAAGGCTTCTCTCCAGTATGAATCACCATGTGGGATTTAAGTCGTCTCGGCACCGAGAAACCCTTTCCGCACTCGGAGCAGGAGAACGGCTTCTCTCCGGTATGAATCATCATGTGGGTTTTATAGTCGGACGATCTCGAAAAACTCTTCCCGCACTGAGAGCAGCTGAAAGGCTTTTCTCCGGTATGAATCTTTTCATGCTGCTTTAACTCTTTGAACCGTTTGAAGCTCCATTCGCACTCGGAGCAGGCGAATGGCCTTTCTCCGGTATGAATTGTCTCGTGTTGTCTTAAATCTATTAAGCGTTTGAAGCTCCACTCACACTGAGAGCACTGATGAGGTCTCTTTCCGTCATGGACGTCCATGTGGCGTTTCAGAGATTTCTCAGAGGTGAAGCTCTTCCCACACTGTGAACAGGTAAATGGTTCCTCTCCAGTATGAATTCTCAGGTGATCTTTCAGGTGGGAGGCTTCACTGTAGCTTTTTCCACCCCGGTGAGGTTTCTGTGAGTTAGATTCTTTCTGAAACTCCTTTACATCTGGTTTGTGCTCCTCTTTAACGTCTTCATATAAAATTCTTTCTGAAATAAAATGAAAAATAAACAGTTCACTTAATGAATAAACAGACACCGAGCACTCAGAACAATAACTCAAATTAACTCAAAGACAAACGTCACAGACTTCAGAGAGTCGCAGGCTGACAAGGACTTCCAATTGAGTAAAAAGAACAATTCTATTGCAGATTATGACCATTTCTCCAATTATTTGATGAAGAAAAACACAATATAGTGAAAATCACTACTGTCGTCAAAACCTCACATATTCAAAACAGTAACAGAAGGAAAAAACGTTTTCAGCTCTGAAGGGAAATTAATATAAGACACCACCCCCCACAGTAATTCTGGACCATCTCTTTTGGTCCATGCATCACGAAATTTTCGAATTATGCAAAATATATATATATTTATACATTTATTTTGGAGGTTAATAAAGCTGTGTTTAGGTCTGGTCGCTGTAGAACTATGGGATTATTTTTGAGATTAATAAAGCTGCTTTAGGTCTTGTCAGTGTAGAACTATGGGATTATTTTGGAGATTAATAAAGCCACGTTTAGGTCTGGGTGGTGTAGAACTATGGGATTATTTTGGAGATCAATAAAGCTGCTTTAGGTCTGGTCAGTGTAGAACTATGGGATTATTTTGGAGATTAATAAAGCCGCGTTTAGGTCAGGGTGGTGTAGAACTATGGGATTATTTTGGAGATTAATAAAGCCGCGTTTAGGTCTGGGTGGTGTAGAACTATGGGATTATTTTGGAGATTAATAAAGCCGCGTTTAGGTCTGGGTGGTGTAGAACTATGGGATTATTTTGGAGATTAATAAAGCCACGTTTAGGTCTGGGTGGTGTAGAACTATGGGATTACCCTCGGAATTAATAAAGCTGTGTTTAAGTGCAGTATAATAATAAGCATCTCGTCTGTAGGAGTTATCTACCTCAAACACAAAGGCCAAACTGACCTTCGTCCATCTGCTGGTCTTCAGTCTTCAGTCCAGTCACCTCCATCACACTGATATCCTCACACTCCTCTTTAACGCTGGACATTTTGCTCTCCTTGCCTTGCAGAACACACAGTCCCGTCTGTGGCTGAAAGCAAACGAAAGAGAAAGTATTTCGGTGTTTATAGGAACACACAAAGCTTTTAGTTAGTCTAAGAAACTGGAATTAATCATGATGTTTACAAGAATAGGACACAACCCCATTTCCAAAAAAGTTGGGACGCCGTGCAAAATGTAAATAAAACTAGAATCCAATAAGGGAAAAAATGTAAACACTATATTTATATTTATTTATTAATCAACCCTGTTACCCAGATTTCAAACCTGTTACTCAGGATTCAACCCTGTTACCCAGATTTCAACCCTGTTACCCAGATTTCAAACCTGTTACTCAGATTTCAAACCTGTTACCCAGATTTCAATCCTGTTACCCAAATTTCAACCCTGTTATTCGGGATTCCTCCCTGTTACCCAGATTTCAAACCTGTTACCCAGATTTCAAACCTGTTCATCAGGATTCAACCCTGTTACCCAGATTTCAACCCTGTTACCCAGATTTCAATCCTGTTACCCAGATTTCAATCCTGTTACCCAGATTTCAAAGCTGTTACTCGGGAATCAACCCTGTTCATCAGGATTCAATCCTGTTATTCGGGATTCCACCCTGTTACCCACATTTCAAACCTGTTACCCAGATTTCAACCCTGTTACCCAGATTTCAACCCTGTTACCCAGATTTCAACCCTGTTACCGAGGATTCAGACCTGTTATTCTGTCATTTGTGGTGAAAATAGCCTTAAAACACTTAATTTTGTAGGTTATAAAAGTGTCAATTTGGTAAAAAATAGTCATTAAAAATACTAAAATTACTAAAAACAAGAAAAATTGCACTTTTTTGTTTGAAAAGAAAAACCTCTAAAAGCTCTGATGTAATGTATATAAGAAATACAGAAAACACAATAAGACTTTGGGTTTTTATTATTTACCTGAAAAACTTCTAAAAGTATTTCAGAAATATCTGCATTTCTTGCTAGAAAATAATTAATTCAATTAACACAAGTTCTTAAATGACATTTTAATAATCAGTAACAGGGCTGCAAAAATGCTACATATTTCAGAAAAAAACTGCTCGTAGAGTCTCTGATTTGACAGCTTGAGGTGCAGAAATCATAATTACTGAAAGTTGAGCTCTTAGTTTGATCAATACTTTGTCAAAAACACCAAAAACGTACATTTTTAAAGAATCTTGAGTTGTAAAATGATCTCTACTCACAGAAAGTGCCAGACGCGGAGAGATTCAGTCATACGCTCTTAAAAAGAAGGTTCTTCAAGGGTTCTTTTGTAAAGGCAAGAGTTCTCTATAGAACCATGAACACTCAAAGAACGCTTTGCACTTAAATCGTTCTTCAGATTGATGGAGAATGTGTTGTATATAAGGGTTCTACCATTGTAGACAATAGCAGAACCCTTTTCCTATCTAGAACCATTTTCACAAAGGTTCTCTACAGAACCATATGCAGCATATTCTCCATCAATCTGAAAAACCATTTCACCACTCAAAGAACCATTAAAGCATGAAATGGTTCTATATGCCACTCATTGACCTAAACAGAACCATTCTCTTTACTGAAGAACCTTTGAGGAACCATCTTTGGTAAAGAGTGCAGGTGAAAACATACCTGGTGAAGCTGGTGGGCCAGTCTGGTCGCGCTGGTGGTGCTAGTCGTCCAGTTACACCATCAAAGTGTCTCCAAAACATCCCCTGTGTTGGTCAGTCAGCTCCACTGGGCTCCCAGTTCAACCAGTTTGGGCTGGTCAGGCTCGGCTGTGAGGAACAGAAGGTCCAGCTCAGCACGGAGGCAGTCAGAAACACGGAGACTGACCATCAGACGGCGCGGGAACACGGACAGCGTCCGAGTGCATTAATATTCGCCCCCCGTGTGAAGATCTACCGGGTTAGTGCTGAGCTGCAGTCTGAGCACAGGAGCGCCTCAGCAGCGCCCACTGTTTGGAAATAAAGCCCCGCCCCTTCAGCTCAGACCGAGATTCTGATTGGTCCAGCCGTCTGTCTATCATCATAGCGCCCCTGCTGTTTGTTTTGTGGCTTGATGAAGGCCGAGTGAGTTTACTTTCACGTAATGAGCGGAATGTATGACACATCGAGCTCATTTCACCTGGATCAAGATGTTTCTGCTTCCTCAGCACTGGCCTATTTTCTGTGACTACAATCATTTGGGATGATGAAACCATCAGAAGCGTTTAGAATCAGCCACTGGTCACCTGTTAAACCATTAGGATCCTTTACACAGACCTGTTAAACCATTAGAATCCTTTACTTAGACCTGTTATACCATTAGGATCCTTTACACAGACCTGTTACACCATTAGGATCCTTTACACAGACCTGATAAACCATTAGGATCCTTTACTTAGACCTGTTATACCATTAGGATCCTTTACACAGACCTGTTAAACCATTATAATCCTTTACTTAGACCTGTTAAACCATTAGGATCCTTTACTTAGACCTGTTAAACCATTAGGATCCTTTACACAGACCTGATAAACCATTAGGATCCTTTACTTAGACCTGTTAAACCATTAGGATCCTTTACACAGACCTGTTAAACCATTATAATCCTTTACATAGACCTGTTAAACCATTAGAATCCTTTACTTAGACCTGTTCAACCATTAGGATCCTTTACACAGACCTGTTACACCATAAGAATCCTTTACACAGACCTGTTAAACCATTAGGATCCCTTACACAGACCTGTTAAACCATTAGAATCCTTTACACAGACCTGTTAAACCATTAGGATCCTTTACACAGACCTGTTAAACCATTAGAACCCTTTACACAGACCTGTTAAACCATTAGCATCCTTTACATAGACTTATTAAACCATTAGGATCCTTTACACAGACCTGTTAAACCATTAGCATCCTTTACATAGACCTGTTATACCATAAGGATCCTTCACTTCGACCTGATAAACCATTAGGATCCTTTACTTAGACCTGATAAACCATTAGGATCCTTTACATAGACCTGTTAAACCATTAGAATTCTTTACACAGACCTGTTAAACCATTAGGATCTTGTTTTTCCGCCAATAATAATATTTTTTTCCTAGATTTTTCCAAAGTTATTGTTATTGTTATTAATATTAATAGGATTCATGTGTCACACAAATAAAACACTGAGATGCAAACAAACAGCCATAATGACGGAGTAGAGACTCTAGTCACAATACAGAGCTACACACACCTACAAGACAAACTGCTGAAAACTAAAATAAACAGAAAAAATCTGAAGGTAAAATGTACATTTTTTACTTTTTCTGCCTTTTGTTGAGTTTCTGACAATCACAGTTGTCTTCACGTTTATTGATACAATCCATGCACACAGTGTATATATACTGAATAATAATAATAATAATAATAATAATAATAATAATAATAAACAATCAGTGTAAACCATGCTTATTATTGCTCTTATATTTAATTATTCACATTCAAACATCTGCATTTATGTATATTATTTATCATAATGGATGAGAAGGTTAACAAAGAAGAATCAGATCAGATTACTTTATTATTATTATTATTATTATTATTCTTGTTATTATTATTATTATTATTATAAACATGTATATTTTTGAAAATGTGTTTAAAATAATTTATGAAAACATTCAAAGGGGAAAAAATGTGCGAATACGGCTTCCGCCTGTGTCGACATCCGTGAGAGTCCATGTCACCGGCGACGTCCCCGCTTTAGCGCATGCGCGGTGTCGCCGACTGAGGTCTGGTGGTGATGTTTTGGGTCGGAAGAGCCGAAAATCTCCGCTAAAACTGCGCCGATTCATAAAGAACCGCGCGCGCGCTGAAGAGGAGCGTCTGCGGGGGCCTTACGCGTGGCCGCCGTCCGGACCAGGCCGGTTTAGTCCAGTTTTGGCTGGTTTTCAGCGCCTGAAGGGTTGATGTTGTTGTCAGTGCCGCTGAGCTCCTCCAGATGATGAGCAGCATGTCCGGCACTGACCTGCACTCAGAACCGGACCTCCGGCTCCATTCTGGGGGTCCTGAGGGTCCTGAGGGCACCAGCAGCAAGTCCACCGGAACAGACCTGTCCATGGAGGACATCGGCCGTCTGGAGGAGCTGCAGAGGGAGATCAGGCAGCTGAGGGAGGAGGTGGCCTTACTGGAGGCCAAGCTGAGGCTGAAGGACTGTGGAGAACCTCAGGAGCCACAGGTCAGTCATGTTCCACTGTTCTCCAGGAGCACGTGTTCTGCGTTAACCAGCCAACGCGGTGTGGCGCTGCTGAAGGGTGCAAGTATGAAGTTTTACCGTCTGTAGCTGTGGATGTAAATATCGTCTGTATTAACTGTGATATGTGTTAAGTAGATGTTGTGGTGATGTAGTTTATCAGCACTAGAACTAAAAAAAACCTCTTTTTATTTCAAAATCGCAGTTCAAAAGAGTGCAGTTTTAAGTTACGGCCCACGTTATGAAAAATATTTAAGTGGGGAAATTTAACTCACTAACACAGAGCTTGTAACCCAAATTTTAAGAAGAGCCATTTTGACCTTTCAACAAAAATCAAACCAATTCAGGAGCCACAACATTTTATGTCCGTTTTACCGTCTCAGTCTGTGCTGATGTACAAGTATAGACTAAAAAATATAGTACAAACTAAAACTCAGACTTACTTTGCTCTGCCTTAAGCTTTAGCTCAGCTTTTCTCACATCTCTGGCAGGAAACCTTTCCTCGAAAGTACATCAGTTTCTTTTAAAATGTCTCTCAACGTTTGACTTTTTATGAGGCTGAAGTCGCTTCTCATTCGCCAGCTTCTGATTCTAATTTTCCCGTTCCACCTTAAATGGTGCCTGAGGAGCCAGAGTGTAACTGCTGCACCATTTAAGGTGGAACGGGAAAATTCGAACAAGTAGCTGATGAATGAGAAACTGACTTCAGGCTCATGACTTTTTAGTGTTTGACAGTTTCAGGAAACCAGCTGGAGTGACTATAAACACAAATAAGTCCATTCGTCTCCAAATTATCGATGTTCGTCTTAAATCTCTCTCTTTGCCGTTTCATTAGCTACTAGCTAGGCGAGACTGTTGTCTGTGTTGCTATGGTGACCAGCAGTCTGCGCTGATCTTCAGGGTTAAAGGGTGAATCAGCAGTTCTACATTAACTCCAGAGTTTAAGACCATTTATTGTTAAACTGTGTTGAACGATCAGCAGAGCTTTATTTTACTGTAAAGGAGGATTATTTTATTTTTACCTACTAATCTGATTCTGCTGTGGAGACACAACAGGGCAGTAAAAGAGCTGCATGCTGCTGACCCCACAGTTAGACCAGTCAGAGGCAGCCAGCCTCCATGTCATCTAACCACAAGTTAGTGGCTGTCTGGAACACCAAATCTGGGGTCTCAGGTCAGAAGAAAGTGAATAGTCTGGTCTTCTTGGCCAAAAAAACAGGCCTCGATCAACGTCAGTCCAAAAATTGGCAGTTCGATATTTTCCCCAAATCGTTCAGCCCCAACTACAACCACGTACACCTAATGGAGCCATTCGCTTGCATGAAACTAACCTGTTCTCTCTGTTTTCTCTCTGAATCAAACCTGATTCAAACGCAGCATCAGAAGACCAGAGGTGGACACCAGGAGCTGGAGCTCATCCCCAACCTACCTCCACTTTTTAGGGCCGAAACAAAACCCAGACCACCAAAGAGCTGTAACAGCAGAGCTGTCCAGGCGCTGCGAGATGGACCTCGTGTTTTTAAAAACGAACCAGTGGAAACATCGTACTGTGTCTACAGCAGAGCACTGAAGCAGACATGTGAGGACCTTCCTACCCTGTCTCTGCAGTGTTACACTGATCCAGGCACTGTAGAAGCTCAGGACTGTGAACAGGGAGATGAAGACACTCCTCAGGAGGTGGAGGATGAACCCAGTCTGTCTCTGCACTGCTACAGTGATCCAGCACTGGAGTCCGAGTGCAGTGATGGTGACCAACACACGCTCCAGGACTCGGAAGCTGAGGCTAGTCTGGTTAAAACTGAGCTGATCTCCACTGACGGTGATGATGGAGACCAGAACGCACCAAAGGTGAAGCTGATGGACTGTAAGAACATTCTGGAGATAGATGGAAACATCAAAGACGAGGAGGAACGGGATGGATATCATGAGGTGGATTTTATATCTTCAGGTAAGCGTAGAGGACTTACATTTTACATGGGGCTGATTAAATAAAGAGATTTTTTAAGTTCAGAATCAGTCAAAACGTTTGGACACTCCTACTCATAGAAGAGTTTTTATTTATTGAGAATATTTTCCACATTCTATAATAACTGGGAATACCTCAAAACTAACCACTATGGAATCATACAGTGACCAAAAATGATAAGCAAATCCAAACGATTTTCTGTTTTAGGAATATTAAATCAGAAGAAATATCTTGGTTTTAGAAATACATTCATACATAAACATCACCCTCACATTTATACTTACCTTAGAGACAAAATGAAAGCATTTAAGGATAAATCTTTACATCAAAGTAAACCATCAGCTACGGCTATGCTAGAGTAAACCATCAGCTTTGGCCGAGCTAGACCATCAGCTACAGCCGAGCTAAACCATCAGCTACGGCTATGCTAGAGTAAACCATCAGCTTTGGCCGAGCTAGACCGCCGACCACGGCCGAGCTAGACCGTCAACTACGGCCATGCTAGAGTAAACCATCAGCTTTGGCCAAGCTAGACCGTTGACCACGGCCAAGCTAGACCGTCAGCTACGGCCGAGCTAAACCTTCAGCTACAGCCGAGCTAAACCGGCAGCTACGGCCAAGCTAAACCATCAGCTACGGCCGAGCTAAACCGGCAGCTACGGCCGAGCTAAACCATCAGCTACGGCCGAGCTAAACCATCAGCTACGGCCGAGCTAAACCGGCAGCTACGGCCGAGCTAAACCATCAGCTACGGCCGAGCTGAACCATCAGCTGTGGCCCATCTAAACCCGGCTACAGCCGAGCTAGACCGTCAGCTACAGCCGAGCTAGACCGTCAGCTACGGCCGAGCTAAACCATCAGCTATGGCCCATCTTAACCCGGCTACGGAGCTAGACAGTTAATACACTGCTGTCACCTGGCTGCAGTAACAAACATGCTTTAAATGATTATTAATTATGACACATAAATATTATTTTAAGGATTATTTTGGGAACAGAGTATTCAAGTCCTTATTCAGAGTTTTCACAGCAGCAACTTTTGAACAGTAGTGTCTAGGTTTCATATCTGTGATGTCTGTTTAAATTGTAAAATAAGTAGAAATAAATCATTTCATGAGAGCTGTCTGTTTTAAACTCCTTCCTTTGTTGATTTGGATTTGTAGATGTGGCCATGCAGTCCTGCGTAGAGGAAGGTACCGGACCTCCCGTGTCTGAGCGGAACATCTACATCACAGGACCGTGTATGAGGACACTGGCGACCTCGCACTTCACTACAGACCAGCACTTTAACGGATACGCAGAAACAGGAACGTCCTATTCCTGCTTTTGGTGCGGGAAGGAATTCCTCTCAGCGTCCGCTCTGAGAATGCACTTGAGCACGCACGCGGAAGAAAGTTCGGAATGTTTTCCAGCTCCAGCGTCCCAGAGCAAAGACAAGCTGTACCCGTGCATTCACTGCGGAAAAACGTTCGCCGACTTATCGCACTGCAAAAGCCATGAGAAGACGCACGCCGGAGAAGGGCCTTACCGCTGCCCTCAGTGCGGGGTCTCCTTCACGTTCCTCCACAGCTTTCAGAACCACCAGAAGGAACATAGTGGAGAACCGAGTGCTGCCCTGAAGCCTTACCAGTGCTCGTACTGCAACAAGCAGTTCGCGACAAAGGCCACGCTCATAATCCACAGCAGAGTCCACACCGGAGAGCGACCCTACCAGTGCTGCTTCTGCGACCAGGCCTTCACCCGGTCAGACCGGCTGAGGGAACACGAACGGATTCACACCGGAGAGAAGCCGTTCCGCTGCGGCTCCTGTGGGAAGCAGTTCTCGCAGGCGGCGTCGCTCAGGACTCACCAGAGGATCCACACCGGAGAGAAGCCGTACCGCTGCTCCGGCTGTGGGAAGCAGTTCTCGGACTTAACGGGGCTCAGAACCCACGAGAGGCAGCACACCGGAGAGAAGCCATACCGCTGTCTACAGTGTGGGAAGAGTTTCGCTCAGGCGTCCAACCTCAGGGCTCACCGCAAAACCCATGAACAGGCCCCGCTGGTGTTCTCAGTCTGAGCTGATGTGAAAGAGAAATTATTTATCTATTTATTTATTTATTTATTTCTGTTTTTCTGTCTGTGTGGGTTATTCTCATGAAACGTGACAAATGCTCTGGCTCATCTGAAGAGATTAAGGCTGCGTTCAAACAGCAGGTAAAAGTGGCCCAAATCTGATTTTCCCACCAAATCCAGTTTTTTTGTTTCTGGTCGCTTAGCGTCCACACTGACGTATTTATCAAACCAAGAGTCTTTAAAAAGAAACCACAACTGATTGGACGGATTTTTAAGACTTAAATGTGGTCGATTATAACTGGAAGGGTCTTTCTGCTCAACAGAGCCTGTGGCTTTTATGGTTTATGCAACCAGTATACATATTTTAACACCTCCTGATCGAATGACATGGTATTGTGATATGTGAACGCATTCTCTACAGAGAACAATTTTAATGCACAGTTTCTGTTTATTTGCTGAGTTTAACAGACTGGGGGCAAAAATAAAACATGAAATAGGGCTGGGCAGCATGACAATATATATCATTGTTGTGATACATTATGTCTCAGTACAATACAATCTGCTTTTCTGATCATATTGTGTGTATTGGCGGTACTTGTAACTGACCAACCGCGTGCTTTATTATAAAGAGAGCAAAATTTGTCCAGTTTAACTGGATTTAGTGACCAATATTGAATAAAAATCACATTGTAGGTTCGTTTTTCTGTGTTCCATCTGATCAGATGTCTGAAAAAAAGAGTATTGTGACGCATCGTGGTAAATACGCTATATTATATTTTTGCCATATATTTATATATATATATATATATATATATATATATGTTATGTTATCACCCAACTCTAACATGATAAATTAGCATTTAACTAAAACTGAATGTCTCTTGTTTATCTTGTAACTTAATCTTCTTCATTTTCTTCTGATTCTAATTAGGTACTGATGATTTCTTCTAAAACTACGTTTTATCACCTGTCTGTGAAAGCACTTTGAGCTGCCACCGGCATGAAAAGTGCTATAGAAATAAAATTATTATTATTATTATTATTATAATTATTATGATATTGAAAAAAAATTGTTTGAACAAGGGACATTTTATGTTTTATTTCTTCCCCCAAATATATCAAACTCAGCAAATAAGCAGTAATCGTGCATTAAAATGTGCAGAAATGTGTTTATTCACACTCAGAATATCAACACATACACAGAGTTTGACTGGGGGTGCTAAAACTTTTGCACACAACTGTCGTCTGAGGTCGTTTCGTGAGAATGGCCCACATTTTTAAATGCAGCAGATGTAAACAGAGTCATTCAGACTGGTCTGATTTGGTTCTAGAGAAACTTACCGAGTCAGAACTGTTCACAGTGGTGGTGATAGGAACCAGACATCCACCTCTAAAAGCTCCCTCACAGAAAGTTCCTACATGAAATGGTTATGAATTCACTGCCTGATGACTGAGACACTGTTTTATGATAGTTTAGAGAACTTAAACTCCATTCATGGTGGAGGGATTCATGCAGGTCGCTGTGAGGCAAAATAGTCCCCAAAGAAAACTTATTATTTCAGATTCTCCACTATTTTCCATCATCAACATTCCATATAAACTCAGAAGACTCGTGTAGGTTCACTGGTGGTTCTGGATAGTAAATAAAATGTCTATATCTGTGTTGTAGTCATGGCGACCCCTGGTTCCTATCACCATCACTGTAAAGACATCTGAACCATTTCACACCAAACCACTCTGAATCTCTCTGTTTACATCTCACACACTGAATTATGGGGGAAGTTGTGGAAAATTGGTGGAATTGTCCTTAAGGGAGTCAGAAATTCGTGGAGGAACCTTAAAGCTGCGCTGAAGTAGTGAAAGTGTTGTTGCTGCGGTGAAATGAGTAGAATAAGTAGATCCCAAAAAACACTTGGATAAGTAAACTCAGTCTAGTTGTGTTGATAGAAAATGCTGAGCTTAAAGTATGAAAGTAGATGAAATAGGGCTGAGTGATGGACTGAACTGGTTTACAGTGAATACGATGTCAGTACAACCAGCAATACCGGCCCAGTGTTGGCCTCTGTGTGACTTACAGTCAATGAACTGAGCTGTTTCTGCTGAACAGGTTTGTGGATTTAAGGGAACGTTGTTGAAAATGTTCACCTCTAGCAGGATCCTCTCAGTGTCGGGTTTAACTACAATAGTTACGTCCTTCTGTGTGAGTTTAGAACCAGTTTTTATTCTTCTATCAACAATTCTGTGTTGTTTTTACCTGAGAACCTCAAACCTGTAGCTACAGTATCAGATCCTCACCTTCCTCAGCTCAGGAGGAGCTCCATGATGATGAGCTGTGAGTTTTAGTGAAGAACCAAATATAAAAACATGCTGCAAGCGGTAGAGCTGGAACTGAGAACCCCAGTCCACTCATTATGTTCAATACGGATTAAAATAAATAAATAAATCCACCTTCATTCTCCTCGGTGTTTTCTCTTCACTAGGGCAGTGGCCACTTTATCAGAAACACCCACCTTGCGCTTCCACTAACTGGCCACTTTATCAGAAACACCCACCTTGGGCTTCCACTCACTGGCCACTTTACTAGAAACACCCACCTTGTGCTTCCACTCACTGGCCACTTTATTAGAAACACCCACCTTGCGCTTTCACTCACTGGCCACTTTATTAGAAACACCCACCTTGCGCTTCCACTCACTGACCACTTTATTAGAAACACCCACCTTGTGCTTCCACTCACTGGCCGCTTTACTAGAAACACCCACCTTGCGCTTTCACTCGCTGGCCGCTTTATTAGAAACACCCACCTTGCGCTTCCACTCGCTGGCCACTTTATTAGAAACACCCACCTTGCGCTTCCACTCACTGGCCGCTTTATTAGAAACACCCACCTTGTGCTTCCACTAACTGGCCACTTTATTAGAAACACCCACCCTGTGTGTCCACTTACTGGCCGCTTTTTTGGAAACACCTACTTCACCATGCGTGGATTGTACCTGAGTGACATGAACGTCCACTATTATAGTGTATTTGGTTGTTGTTTATTTATTTATTTATATTTATTTTTCAAGTCTTTCATCTATATTTCATGTTTTTGTATTAACTCTTGTATTATACTCCATGGCATGACCACTCCAGGTGAGGAGAGAGGAGCTGCCCCAGGTGGAGGAGTTTATGTATCTGGGGGGTCTTGTTGACGAGTGATGGGAAGAGGGATGGTGAGATCGGCCTCAGGCTGGGACAGGCAGCAGCAGCAATGTGGTCACTGTACTGGACTGTAGTGGTGAAGAGGGAGCTGAGCCATAAGGCAAATCAGGATGCCCCCTGGACACCTCCCAGTGGGGGTTTACCAGGCACGGCCTACTGGGGCGAGAACCCGGGGTGACCCTAGGACCCGCTGGAGGGATTATATCTCCAGGTTGGCCTGGGAGCGGCTTGGGGTCCCCCGGAATGAGCTGGAGGAAGTTGTGGGGGGCAGGTTCATCTGGGATTCTCTGCTCTCCCAACTGCTGCTGCGACCCTGTCTGGACTAAGCGGTTAAAGATGATGAATGAATGAATGAATGAATGAATGAATGAATTATACTCCATTATTTTAATAATAGTTATGTTTTTATATCCGTTACATAGCTATTTCTCCTGTTCCTACTCGCATACACAGCCATGTCCTTTACTGTTTGTATCTGCTACTACCACTGCTGTGCCTACGCGTGTTTTTGATAACACCTTACCAACATTCATGCTGAAATTCGTGGGGGGAAAAAATTCGGTGGGAATTCCCCTGTGGAGGTGACCAGGCGCCGGTCCTGTAGGTGGCGCTGTGGAGCGCGTTGCTGCTCGCATAACAGATCAGCAGCCGCGGAGGGAGAAGACAGCGACGGTTAGTAAACAGACCCTGATCGTTATAAAGAAAGTGGGGGGTTTATTACTCATTTATAAGAAATTAATGTAGTATTTATTCCGTTTGTGTTACACGGTGGGGAATAAAGACAGAAACAGGCAACCCGAGCCTGTAGCGACTCGCATATCAGCCCGGAACAGACTGAAGGTCGCTTGTTTGTTCAACAACTTTCATTCGAATTGTTCCGTTCCACCTTAAACGGCGGAGCAGGTAGCATTACAGCTCCCCAGGCGCCGGAACGTGTGCTGTACCATTTAAGGTGGAACGGAAAAATTCAGATGAGACGCCGGTTTCAGCCTCGTGGTTCCTGTGCTTATAGCTGCGGGGTGTTCTAAGTGTTCTAGCTAGTTCCACTGCGGTTCTAGCTAGTTCTTTTACTGCAGTTATCATTTCACTGCAGCCACAAACTGATGAGTTGTTTAGTAACCTACACACTTAAAAAGATGGTTCTTCAAAGGTTCTTTAGTCAAGGCGATGGTTCTGTTTAGAGCTATATGTTCCACATGCAGCCATTTCGTGCTTAACTGGTTCTCCAGACTGATGGTGAATGTGGAGCCTTTTTGAAAAGGGTTCTTCTACTGTTACAGGCTTGACCTCTCTTCAGACCTGCACAGGCGATGTCCACGATATGCCCAGAAAAGCATACTGTGATATAATTTACCTCAATAACATTAAATATCGTCATGTAGATATGGACAGATTTCACATTAGAGCTGCCTGTGAAGTGCTGTGTAATACTGTGTAGACCTTGATGAGCCCTTTGGGTTATTATATTATTGGATATTATGCTTCCCTACCAATTATACTCTATTCATAATGAAACCTGAAGTGGGTCAGTGCTCTGGAAGTACTGATTATACAACAGGCAGTGCCGGCCACGCAAGCTGATTGGTTGAGAATCGTTCTAACCGTGCTGTTATTTCACCTTAAGCACCGTATCACTCCGCTGAGCAACGACTGTGACAGCTGTAGGAGACGCTCAAGACATTTGAGCGATTTTACTTCTTACTTTGCCACAAACAGAAAACGGACACTTTTAAGATCACATTTGACCGACAGCCGATTTGGTCAGACTCTGAAGATGAGACCACACTAAATTCCCAAACTGTCATCACCACTGAGCAGCTTTTCAGTCGGCAGCTGTGACAGAAGAACAGCTAAACAACCTGGAATCAGCCAGAAATGAACCCAACACCATTCGCCAAACTAAATGGGCTGTAAGATGCTTTACAGACTGGCTGGAACAAAACAACATTAATACTGATCTGGCAAAAACTGACAAAACTGAGCTGAACTTGATATTGCGGCAGTTTTATGGCTCAGTCTGATTTGGTCAGACTCTGAAGATCAGACTACACGTTTGGCGAATGGTGTTGGGTTCATTTCTGGCTGATTCCAGGTTGTTTAGCTGTTCTTCTGTCACAGCTGCCGACTGAAAAGCTGCTCAGTGGTGATGACAGTTTGGGAATTTAGTGTAAGGAGCTGGAGGACGAACTGCCGGCTGTGCAGCGAGTGGGTGGAGCTCGTTACTCTGACGTAGCAACAAGCTGCTCGTTAAGGAACTACAATTTGGTGAAGGAACTGCGAACATTAAAACATATTAAACGCCGCGTTCACGGCCCAGTTTATTAATTTATTACTGTATTTATTTAACTGTTGTATTAAAGCAATAGAACACTCGAGCAACTATGTTGAATACCGCCATACTGCCCAGCTGTACTTGGAATAAAATGACTAACGTTTCAGAGATATGAGGTCATGTTCCACCACTATTGCCTGAAGTTTTCTATTTTCAATTGAAATTTTCCATAAAATGTGTTTTTTTTCACCAGCTGACCAGTCGGCCTCCTGTTCTCCTCATAGGTGGAGTAAGAACCAGCAGAATGGAGAGCAGAGCCGAGGAGATGGAGGAGGGAGAGGTTTTCCTGGAGCTCCACCTGCTGTACGACTCTGAAACGTCCTGCACCAAGTCAGTAGGAACTGATCTCTCCATGGACGACATCAGAAACCTGCAGGCTGAGGTGTGGAGACTGAGAGAGGTGATCGCTTCACTGGAGGAGAGGCTGAGACGACAGGAGGACGTACGCCGCGGGCAGGTGGGTTCTGTTTACTTCGTTTTCCTTATGTAGCATCGCTGTGACCTGGACCAAACCACAGATCTTTACTGTATTCAAATAAATCTGGTAAAATCAGTGAAAATAAAACGGTGAAAAACCAAAGTCAGATTTATTGATGTAGCATTTTTTACAACCGATACAGGAAGTACACACTTTTAAAATGATGGGTCTTCAAGGGTTCTTTAGTAAACAAAATGATTCTACATAGAACCAGAAACACTCACATAACACTTTGCATGGTGAAATTGTTCTTCAGATTGAAGGAGAATGTGCTGTATATGGTGGAACCTTTTTGAAAAGGATTCCATATAGCACCAAAAAGGGTTCTGCTATTGTAACAAGCCTGACATTGTAACAGTAGAAGAACCTTTTTGGTGCTACATAGAACCACATACTGTAAATAACAATAATAATAGTTATTATAATAGTGACCACTAGCTGGCCACTTTATTAGAAACACCCACCTTGTGCTTCCACTAACTTGCCACTATATTAGAAACACCTACCTTGTGCTTCCACTCACTGGCCACTTTATTAGAAACACCCACCTTGTGCTTCCACTAACTGGCCACTTTATTCGAAACACCCATCTTGTGCTTCCACTGACTGGCCACTTTATTAGAAACACCCACCTTGTGCTTCCACTGACTGGCCACTATATTAGAAACACCCACCTTGTGCTTCCACTAACTGGCCACTTTATTAGAAACACCTACCTTGTGCTTCCACTAACTGGCCACTTTATTAGAAACACCCACCTTGTGCTTCCACTAACTGGCCACTTTATTAGAAACACCCACCTTGTGCTTCCACTGACTGGCCACTTTATTACTCATCCACGCCTTTATTTCTAGCAGCGTTGATCACTGTAATGGTCTATCAAGATCAAAATACTAAAAAATACAACCTCGCCATGACTTACAGTTTTTTATCTTGAGATCTGCTGTTTGTACAGAGTTTGGGGAAAACTCAATGAGATGTTGTAACTCAAACTGTGGCTTTTAGCTTGTGTGTCTGTTATGAAGTGGTGAACACTGTTCCACTGCATCACTGCAGGACTTCTTATGGCTTACATTGTTATATTTTCTTGGTTCTTGTGCTGCAGGACTCAGAAGGAGGACCCAGTGTTCACAGGCCTGAACTGAGCCCTTTAGACTGTGGTCCCCAGGTGCAGGACGAGGAGGACGTCTCCAGTGTGAATCCTGAGTGTAAACCTGAAGGGTCGTCAGTATTCATGCCGGACTCTCTGAGTGAGAGTGAGCAGCAGGACTCGGTGCAGGACGTGGAGCAGGACGGAGGCAGCCTCCCTCTGCAGTGCTACACTGACCCAAACCCTACAGAGAGTGTGGACTCCAGCTGTACCGCTGCAGCTCAGACGCCCTTAAAGACGTGTTCAGTGAGGCTGGAGGACTGCAGGACCATAGTGGAGCTGAATGGACTCATCTCAGCAGAAGAAGAACCGGAAGAACCTGATGATGACAGTTCTTGCCCTTCAGGTAGATCAAGAGCATTACGTTGTTCTTCCCTGCAGTGGAGCTGACCCCAGTAATCTGAGTAACCGGGTATTCGTTCATTATTTGTTTGAACTCCTGTGTCAGCAGTGAGTGACCTTAATGCAGCTGAATTCATTAATAAGAAGCATTTGGACATATTGTGTATATATACACACATAATGTTTTCTTTCTTTTAAAATATTATACAGAGGCATCTGTAGCTGAACTCCAGAGTGCCCCAACTTTTTAGCACATCAGGCAGGCCTACTTGCATTTACTGTGTACGTCGAAAAATTGGCATTTTAGCTACTCAGTATCCCCATAATTAAAATCAAACAGTGATATTGATTGGAAATTGTGTGCAAGACAAAACGTATCAGCTTTGGAAGTCGTCGGTCACCTACAGAGCGCAATGGTGATTTTCTGAAGACCCCATTCATTTTTCTTCATGGAGAAAAGAAGACTAGAACCTTATGTGACTTGTAGTTCTATTTACCAACCACAAGGGGGCACGTTAAATGTATTTCAACTGCAAGTCAAAGTTAAGACTCAGTAAGAGTGAGTCTGCAGTTCCCTTTACAAAAGACACTCTAGTGAACCGTCTAGTTTTGACCTGAAGTGTTTTATTTTTATTTGATTTTCTTGTTTATTATTGATATGACTTGTTTGTAATGCGCTGTGGTTTATTAAGTTTATTGCTGTTATTATTATTAATATTATTTTTATTGTTATTAATATTATCACTATTGGAATAGTAACTTCTAAATGAAAGATTAAAAGTTCAAAGAACAGAATTCGGCCTTGTATATTCGGATGATTTCAATGACAGTTGAGGCTGTTTTATTATCTGTATTACTCTTTGTTCTCTAACATTTACACTACTTTACTAACTTAACCAACTTTTGTACTGACTTTCATATTATTTTAATCTGTTTTGAGTCGATTTGTCCTAATACTTTTGCTCTTCCAAAATGGTGGAGACTGAACACACATTGTGTTGTTTTTTTAATGTCACTATTTTGGAGTGTTTCTAATGAATTTACCGCATAGATGTCTGATAAATCACGACGCTTCCTACATGGTCGTTAATTAAAGATATCATTAACATGCTGTCTGTGTCTTCCAGGTGGAAGCAGTGAGTCTCCTGATGAAGGAAATCAAACCTCCAGAGAACAAACTCCAAACAAAACCAATAAACAGAAACCAGGTTTTCTGTGTCCTGCCTGTGGAAAACAGCTGAGCTCCTCAGAGTCTTTGAAAAGACACATGAGAGTTCATAACGGAGAGAAGCGTGGGGGCGCTCTCACCGCCAAGGGGAACCCGGAGGTCCGTCAGGGCGCTCAATCCAAAGAGAGGCGTCACAAATGCCCCGACTGTGGGAAAGCGTTCCCTTTTCCAAGTATGATCAAATACCACCAGAGGATTCACACTGGAGAAAAACCTCACAGCTGCTCACACTGCGGCATGAGCTTCAGGCAGAAAGGCCATCTTCAGCGCCACGAGGCAATACATACCGGTAAGAATGGAGCCACAGCAGACCTGGACGCTGGTGTCCTTTTATAATTCCACCAATTTTTCAACATTTCTACATAACTCAGTCTTTGAGACGTAGACACAGTCGTTCAGATTGATTTGACGTGAAATGGTCCGTTGTAGAGAAACTTCACATTCAGATGTCTTTACAGTGGTGGAACCAGGGGTCGCCATGACGACAACACAAATATAGACATTTTATTTACTATCCAGAACTGCCAGTGAACCTACACGAGTCTTCTGAGTTTATATGGAATGTTGATGATGGAAAATAGTGGAAATTGGGGACTATTTTGCCTCACAGGCACCATGAATGGAGTTTAAACAGATGCGTTTCACACCAAACCACTCTGAACCACTCTGATTACATCTCAATCCTTTTATTATGCAGAATGTTTTGGAAAAAATGGTGGACTTTGCTTCTCACTTACATTACTATCATCTCTCAGAACTGTGCCAGGAATCTAACACCTGTTGGTTCAGTAGCACACTAGCCATGGGCTAGCATGAGTTAGAAAGCCAACTGAAGAACACAAGCCCTAGCGAAGTTTATGGTTGTCTGATTTGTTCACAAATCAAAGTCAGTGTTATCAGATCACGCTTCAGCTTTTGTTGCCTTTATAATTAGCAGTAATAAGATTGCAATAAGATTAGCGTTTGGTTATGATTGCCAATTTAGAGCACATTGGTAAATCACTCCAAGTAAATCACCCACCAACAGCCAATCACAATTTAGTTTTCACTAAATATTTATAACATGGTGTAACGGGTTTTGCAATTTTTAATATTATTATTGCTGGAACCTTATGTGAGGGTGTGAGGTAACCCGGATTTATTTGAAGTCTACAGACCAGGGCAAGAGAGAGAAACGTTCGCACCAAGGATGCTTCAGAAAAGGGAATTTATTGGCTAAATATCAAACTACTTTTGGACTGCATTCAATGATAAATAATAGAAAATAAAACAAGAAAACAAAACAAAACGAAACAAAGTGATAGTAATGAAAGACAAAATAGCTCGAGTAAGCTAAGAGTGATTCACGGCTAAATGGTATGAGGCAGTGTGGTTTGGGGAGTCGCTTGGGAGAGCCTCTAGAGAATCAACCTAAGCCTGGACGGGAAGAACTATATGGCTGGATGTACCTGTAAAAGTTCTCTTATTAAATAAATTGGCGTCAGGGCCCTGACTGCAAATTGATGGTTCCAGCTTACGTGGGAGTCGGGGGCTGACTTTAGGAGGGGTCGTCTCAGGACAGACTCGATCGAAGGCTGGAGCTCACGCGGTGGTTCCTCTCCTCGCTGGCCGTGGATGCTGCATCTCCATGCATCTCCGCGCCTTTCCGTCAGTGATTGGGCGGAGGCGTCTCGTGGCCGTCTGATGGTGGAGCTTGAGCGGCCTTTCGTGGGTCGATCTGTTCACAGATCAGTGTGTGGCTCTGGGTGTGATGCTGGGTCTCTGTGGCGTCCGAACTGCTCCCACTCCGCTGGCGAGGTTCAGGTTGCAATCAGGGTTCTGAGGCTGGTGGTACCAATTTAACTAACTACCTCTCTTATGGATATATCCTCCCTGGCCCGACAAGAAATATCCACCTTCCTTCTCTGAGGGTGGTTCAAACTTAAGGTGTGTAGGCGAACAGGCAAGTTACAAACAAACAAAGGTTTCAGATCTGAAAATTTTGCGTCCTAATACCTGTCTTTCTGACCTAGGCCGGCACAAACTTAGAAATTTGTTGCGAACGCAGGAACTCTCTAAATTTTGCGGTGCACTCTGGTTTTGCTCGGCTGGAGGCCCTACCCTTTGGAGGTGGTGCCAGAGTGCTGATAGGTTGACTAGCTTGTTTCCCACTCTGATTGGTTGTGCATAGTTTGAGGAATGCCTTCCCCAAAATCACTGCCTCCTTTGTTTCAGCTAGTTTAAACAAAGAAAAAGAACATTTCTATATCATCCAATTGGTTTAACTTTCAAAATCAAGGAATGAACAATTAGGATATTCAGGCATGTTTCTAAGAGAGAGTTTAACCCTTGTTACCTGATACACAATACATGTCAAAGAACACAGGTACTACTTGGCTATCAACTCTGAACATGACCCAATGCATGAAAAAAATAAAATCAACAATAAAAGGAAAGGAACAAAGGAAGAAAAGAAAAGAAAACCACATTCAGGATACATCTTGGTCAATGGTCTAAACTCATAGCAATTAACTGCTTGGGTCTGACTGTTATCAAAGTTATACTCTACGTATTTCTAGCACTTAACGATAGAAAAAGATACAGGTAATATTTAGGTACTACCCAACAACAAGATTAATACCACAAGTAGTATTACTTACAGATCATGGAAACTTTGATAATCAAGGAGACAAAGCACGAATCATCAAGCAGAATCAAGCAGACAAAACACGAAGTTTTCTTGCTTTTTATAAGCACAAGTCCTTACGGTGGTGATGCGGTAATTTGCGGTTTCACCCCTTGGGGGTGCTGTGGGTCCATGCTTGAGATCCCTAGGGAATTTAGAAAGTTGTAATGTTGCCGTCCAAAGTCGTACAAATTCCATTTTGGTATGTCTAGTTTAGTTAAAAAGAGTTCTAACAAATGGTTGTAGCTTGGAGGGGACAAACACCTTAGAAATGTACTTTCTGCTACTTAAGATAAAAAGTTGTCCACAGGATTTTGGAGAGCCGTGCAGCTGCATTCCAGTGAAGGGTCCTGTTTTTCTCCAGGTCAAAGGAGAGGGGTGCAGCCTCTTGATTCAGCTGTAAATCTGACTGAGTCTGGGGTTGGGGTATTAAGCCAACAGCTTTATGCCACAATCCCAGACTTGATGGAGCCAAAAGCCCCTTAACTTTTGGGTAAACACTCTGCTTGAGGTAGAGTTTCAGCCAGTGCTCGCTACAATGGTTTCATATCAGAGCTTGGCTGATTTACGGTAGTTTTTAATAGTTTTGCTTGAAACAAAGCAAAGCAGATTGCTTTCACCAGAGCCAGTTTATGAGGAGCCTGGCCACTTACTATTTCCCGTTATATCAAAAACCGGACTGCAAAACAGCAGATGGCGCCCACGAGCGAGTCCTCAATGAATGGGAGTAAATGAAGTTAGAGTTATAGAGTTAGTTTTATTTGTCCTCATACTTTTGCACATCTAAAATGGTTGAGAGTGGACATGAATTCATTAATTTTTCTATCGATAAAAATCTATATGCTGTAAAAAAGAATTTGTTGTTTTAACTTTGAAAACAGTCATGTTTTTATGTTTTAAGCTCTGATAGCATGTCGGCAATAATGTCTTACGTTCTTCGGAGTTCAGGTAGCTCAAAACATTACAAACATTTAGGTTAAAACACAATATTTTCAGTTTTTTTCTTCCACAGTACGACTTTTTAGTTTTACGCACCCATTTTTGGAGTATTTCTAATTCGTTTCCTTCTCTGACGTTTAATAAAGACATGGTGTTGTTGTTGTGTAGTAATATTGTGTTAATATGACTCTCCGACTCTTTCAGGTGGCAGTACAAGCCAACAAAAACCACCTTTCCCTTGTCCTACTTGTGGAAAACAGCTGAGTTGCTCGGAAACTTTGAAAAGACACATGAGAATTCATACCGGAGAGAAGCCGCCGAGGCCTCACGCCTGCACCGTGTGCGATAAAGGGTTCCCTACGCGGTCGGTTCTGAAAGTGCACATGAAAACGCATAGTGGAGAGAAACCTTTCCACTGCGACGTGTGTGGGAACTCATTCACGACCAAAGGAAACCTCAAGGTCCATCAGAACATTCATACCGGAGCTCGACCGTACCAGTGCTCCTTCTGCGACAAGCGCTTCAATCATCAGACGCACTGTAGACGGCACGAACATAGTCATACCGATGAGAGACCTCATCAGTGTCCAGACTGTGGAAAAGGCTTCAGTTCCTCGAGTACACTCAAAGACCACCGGAGAGTTCATACCGGAGAGAAGCCATACCACTGCTCGCACTGCGACATGAGCTTCAGCCACAAGAACCACCTCCAGCGCCACGAGAGGACGCACACCGGCGAGAAGCCTTACCTGTGCGACCACTGTGGGAAAGCCTTTTCAGATCCCAGGCACTTCTCCACCCATAAAAGGGTGCACTCGGGTGAGAAGCCCTACCAGTGCTCCTTCTGTGGGAGGAGCTTCCGCCAACGGATCGACCTCAAGCAGCACGAGCGGACGCACACGAACGAAAGGCCGTACGAGTGTGTCCAGTGCAATAAAGCATTTGCGCGTCCGGACGTCCTTAAGACTCACCTCAGGGTGCACACAGGAGAGAAGCCTTATCACTGTCCCTTCTGCGGAGAGTGTTTTGCTTATTTAGGGAGCTTGAGGATGCATCAGGAGAAGCACGCCAAAGAGGAAGTGACACTGAGTTCATAGCAGTATGAGCTCTTTTACAGGAGACAAAGAGTAGTTCGGCAATCAGTTGTGCCCGTTTTACACTTTACCCTAGATGTAGTTAATAGATCGAGATTTGTTTGGTGTCTCAAGTTTGCTTCTTTAGTTTTAACGCTGTTGATACGAGGCGAATGTAGCTATGAATGGAATTAGCCTTACAGATTAGCATGGTGCCTCATCATGCTGGGTTGTTACATAAGCTCAGATAGACCTGCTAAAGTCTGAAATTGGACAAAGTATGTCAAATAGCTAAAAACAGTGGCAGACATTCTAGACCTGTATTTGCTGGCTATATTATGTCCATAGGTTGAGTGCTGCTACTAACAAAGCAAACTTTAGACACCAGACATGGCTGATCAACTACACTTGGTCATTTGGATCCCCAAATGGTCAAATCCGCTGTTTACAAATTGTATGGTAATCTGAACTCCGTCTGCAATAAATTGTGACAGAAACAAAGGACTCAAAGGGCTTTTTTGACATTTTTAATCATTGACCTGTTTGTTTTGGAGAGATTTGAAATGGAAACCTGTAGAAATTCTGGTTAAAATTCTGCTTTTTTGTCAACGTTATGAATGAGTGGAGAGGTTTGTGTATGAAGCATTACGCCAGAAACAACAGAAAATTGTGATGTTTAAGATCTCTAGAGTTTGAGATCTTAGTCAACGTTTTCAAACCAGATGTTTAGTTATTGAACATCATCGCCACAGTTCACTTTGCTCTTTCAAGATGCCACTTCTGAGGCTGCCAACTCACTAAACAGAGGGATCACGGGGGTCATGCTGAGTGGTTTAGTCCAAGAAATAAGCTGTTTCCAAGTGGAAAATGGCACAAATCTAGTAGCAAAGAAAAGATTAAAAAACACATTTACATTTTCAAACATGACGGTCTGCAAATGTTTATTCTATTGAAGTTCAACCAGGGTCTTTTTTCTCTAATCTGTCAGTGGGGTAAACATTGTTATAATAACAATGAAAATAGCCGCAAGTGGCAATTAGCAGGCTCAAGAACACATCAGCACAGTGAGCCCTTATGCAGATTTAGCCAACTAGGCCTAACAAAAAAGGGTGAAAAATACAAGGAAGTCAGACGTTTATCAAAAAGCCTTCATTTGCCGTAACTGTTGAGCAGTGGGTCTTCAAACATGGTACATGCTTCATTTCATATGTAGTAAGCTATTGGGATTTGTCAAAACAATATGACTAAAGGTAAACATTCTGTCATAGTTGTTGTATTTGCCAAGTGGTTTGGTTCTCCATGTTTAACCCTTTAATATTAATGCCATAATGAGGCCCAATGCACCCATAAGGGGCCCTTCAGGCATAGAGGAGCTGAGTGAAAGTGGGCCATATTTGTCAAAAGGTCTCAATATGATAATTGATCAGGGACCTTCAACAAAGATGCTCACCGAGGTTGCTCAGATTGACTTTTTTGACCTTTGTATTTAGTCTTTGAATGAGTCAAAATACCAGACAAGGAGTCCAATTTATAAAACGGCATGTGATTACAGAGTCATTCAGGTCAGTGAACTAAATCAAATGGCACCATTAGTTTATCTGTAGACTTTGTAATAACATTTTAATGATTTTAAGTGTTTTTGAATTCTGAAGCGCCCCCTAAAGGCTAATCTGGACCAAATTTTTTGCGGACCAGATTTTTTGCAGACCTTATCAAAGTCTCAATGTATATATAAATGTTTATAATTTTGTGATGATCGGACGAAAGACTGAGTTATAGCAATTTAAGCTGGAAATGCCATGGCCATAATGATTAATTGATTGAGCAAGACCATCTTGAGTAAAAAAAAGCCAATTTTTTGATAATTATTTACCTAGAGAGGCCAGAGTGTATTTCTAGACCAATTTTTTAAAGGTAGGATCAAAACTCAACAACTAGTTTGAAAAGTGTGGTTCTAAAAAGCTTATTTTTTAACACATGTAATGGCAAATTTGTATGCGATCATAAATAAAAATGCATACATGTAATATATAATAATTACTTGTCTACATAGAGACATCATTTAAGTTTCATGATGATTGGTCAACGTTAAGCCTGTCAAATGTGTGCTGAAAGTACGCACTGTATCAAATTGTTCTTGCGCCCTGCAAAATTTCATCTTGATTGGATGTACGGTTGCTGAGAAACAGTTATTTGGCAGTTACAGCACATCCTAATGATGTATCCTCCCCTAAATTGAGAGGCTACCTCAGAATCTTCTACTGAATAAGCTTATCAAGTTTCAAAATTTTTGGATGAGGGATTCTCGAGTTATAGAATTTTTAAACAATTATGAATTATTCCAGAAAGGTTAACTAGTATATAGCAGCCATATTTTTTACAAATAATTATTGAGGTTCAGGCTCTTGTGAATTTTTTGATACCAATTACATGAGGATCGGGGGCTAGTTTGTAAAAGTAGGTTTCACATGTTATGCAAATTTTTTAAAATCTAAGAGGTGGAGCAAAAAGTTGCAGATTAGTTTGGCTTCACTTGGGGGAAAAAAAAGAATTTTATCTCTTAAAATTTTGCTTTAAGAGTTACATTGCCAAACCCGTTAGGCTGTGGAACAGCACCCCCTTAAGGCCAATTGGGCTCATGTCATGCGACTGAGTAGTGGGAGGGACTACTACCTATTGACAGTATTTCATGTCTCTACAACCCACAGTTTGGCAATCGGGGTCCGAGCCCCCATGAGCGTGGCAACAGTGGCAAGGAAAAACTCCCTAAGAGCAACAGGAAGAAACCTTGAGAGGAACCAAGACTCAAAAGGGGAACCCATCCTCCTTGACCAGGTTCCAAACTACTTAGCAAATTATCAACTCCTTCTCTAGTTAGATTAGGTGTGTTGGGGCAGGAAATGCTTGAAACTCTGTAGGGCTGTGGGTCCCCAAAACTAGAGAGACCTTCCTGTCCCATGTTACCCTGTTCCATTTCTTTTGCTCAATTGCCACCAAACATACAGGCAACATTTGAATGAAAAATAACCTGGGTGTCTTTACAACGCTTATTTGCAAGTTAAAGACTGTAAAGACTTTGTGACCCCTTGCTAACAATTGGGTACCCATTCAGCAGATGTTAACGAACTTGACCCAGTGTCATGTGTTCTTGTGGAGGCTGTTTACATTTCACGTCAAGATGTGTTGCCTGATCATATCTGAGTACACTTTGGCAGGATTCTTTTACCATTTTTCAGTACAGTGCATCTCGTGTACCAGATGTAAACAGATGTATAAAGTGCCATCAATGCTTATGTTGTTCCCTTTACTTCCATTTACTTCCATTAACCACATAGGAGGAAATCAAGAAACTGGCCAAAATCACAAGGGAGCTACCTTTTTTGCAGTGAGACCTTCTTGGGCGCAGTCCTTGGTGCAGTCCTCTACCAGGAGTTTGATTTGGAGGTGCTTCTCATCAACTAAATAAGCTGAAAACTGTCTCTAGCTTGAAAACCAGTATGTCATAATGGAATGTCAGATTTTGGAGAGAAGACTTCGCTTAATGTTCAGCCAGTTGCACCAGCTGAACATAAGTTCGATCGTAAGTTGGTGTGTAAATCTGTCCTAAACCTCACGTTGAGAGTAAGTTTAAAACTAGCAACACAGAGAATTTCTGTAGCACCGCAAACACTTACGGTACATCTTAACTAGTAGAGCATGAAGTGATCATAGATCAAAACACTGTCGCACAGAATGACGTTTACACTCAGCAGCCAATCAGTAACGCTACCTAACATAAAAAGGAAACATTACATGCATTACGCTGATGTGTCAGTCATATTAGCTAAAATTTAAGTGGTGTCCTCAAAGCTTCCGCCTTCTGTATATTCTGTTCAAGCTGGGCTTCTCATGCACAATATTTTAACGGCACTTTATCAATGAATGGTCGGTAACGTTAGCAAAGCTGTGGCTAATCAGTCTTTGAATCTACTGAATGACAGAAAAGTAATGTCAGTTAAATCTGAGCAGTGATGGAGCTGCTCTTATTGCTCTCCATTGACTTTTGTACTTGAACAGAGTTGCACACCAGGTTTTGGAAGAACCCTGTAGCAGAATATCTTCGTGCCAGACACAGTTCTAAAGTAAGGCAGAGGGCTTCCTGTCTGTGCTACGCTGCAAATGTGCAACTAGGAGATCTGTGATCTTATTTATCTCCAATCGATGAAAACGGAGGCGCGAATACAAATCAGAGTCGTCAAATTGATCAAATCGTTGTAATCTATCCTGCAGAACTGGTTGCCGACGCAAACTGAGACATACTTCGGTTTTTTGTTGGTTATGGTTTACGGCAGAACGTACACCTTTTATAGGGTATGTGTAAATTTTAAGTTATAACTTAAAGCCATGTTAAAACTATGTCACTTGGTGCAACCAGTTAAATTCTAGTAGCTCGTAAACTTGAACACAGTGGAAGTTTAAGTCCAAACTAGGCTACAATTGAACTTAACTTCAGTTGGTGCAACTGGCTGCTGGTCATGAGTCACTCTCAGAATTCTCATTCCAGTTGCATCTGATGACAATGCAGATGGTCTTTTTTCTCAATATGCTCTACAGTCAAGTCAACTACTCTCTGGGTTTTTTCAAAGGGGAGAGGGGGGTGGTGGTTGCTACACTCTATGGGCATTTTCGTTTCACATTGGAATTTTTTCCAGAGCCAGGACTGCTTGCTCTGTGAGTTCAGTTGGTCCGGTCAAGTTTGAAAGCTGTTTTCGAGCTTGGGGGTCCAGAGAACCCATCTTCGGTCCTCCTGAAATTGGTGGTCCGGGGTTTGCTTCCAGAGAACTCTGGTGGGGTCCGCTGCAGGTATGGAAGCTATCTGCTCCTGGTGCCAAATGCAAGGCTGTGTGATTGGTTCATTTTGGTTCATTTTTTTTTCGTGACTGCTTTGACTTATTACACTACTTAGCTTTTCAAGTTTTATTATGGCAGGAAAGGATTGTTGTGGACAAAAAAAGTGCTTTTCTTCGAGTGTTTACATCCAAGGAAAATAGTAAAAAGCAGCAAATGGATGGAGCTGCTGCCTACCATTTTGCAAACCTGCACACAGAAAAGTGATGTATCAGGAGCCGTTACTCCAAGGAAGCTAACCACCACCTTGGTGGCTGAAACTATACCTTGGGGAAGACCCTGCCTGCAGCAATGAGGCAAGTAGGACAATCCAAAGTCCTTGTAGGAAAGTATTTCCACTTAGCAGCTTTGCCACTCATACAAGACCAGACACTTATCTCTTTGAATGGGGCGAAACCTATGAACCTGAAACTGAAAGCAGCATTAATGTTTCGAAAGGGTGGGATGTCCCAGTAAACAGATGCCATGCTGAGCATTATAAGATATGCCATTCATTTTTTCAACCAGTGAACTGTCTTCTTCTACTTTATAATATCTTTGGATGCTGTTTCATCCTGTTATCTCTTACAGGTTGAACCATAAACAGAGGAGGCTATTTGTCACTGTTCAAGTCTAGAT